TGAAAGCAAATAATTGATATGCGTTTTAAAATGAATCATGCGTACGACGAGAGACGCTCATTGATAAGGTGGCCTGAGTTTATGGAATCGCATTATAGCGCATCTGCGCACATACATACATAACTGGACTAGGCAGGCTAAATAGGCCGAAGCGCAAATACATATATACATGACTGCGACGAACGGGGCTTAAATGCAAGTATGCATAGGCAGAATGCCGAATAAACAGAGAAGTGACAGGGAAAACAAGAACAACCAAGTGATACCAAATGTTCGGTCAGCAAATTGTAGAGTGACCCAAATTTTGTGCGTCCGGCGGGAGGCGAAGTGTGCCAAGGCAGCGGTAAAAGCAGAGGCAGCCGCCGCCGTGTCGCACGTCACACAGGGCAGCAGCAGCAACAGCAGCAGTAGCAACAAACAGCAAACAGCAAAATGCTGACAATGCAAGAAAAATGCATACGAAAACAAGCCAAGCAAAGCAGAAAAAAGAAAAATACGATACGTGCGAGCCGCGAGCGTGCATTACAGTGGGCTCCGAATAACCGAAAATAGTGTCAGCTACTTTGTTATGGTATGGTAACACTGTGCGCATCTTATGTCTACAAATCCTACTTTTTTCATTTTGAAGAAATCTTAAATGTATGAAATTTTAAATGGCATAACAACTATTATGCCTTGCAAATATATTGATAGGCTTACAGCAACAAACAGCCCAGTGTACCGTTGAATATAATATGTAGCAAATGGTACACTTGTACCACACGAGGCAAGTGTGCATGGCTAAATGCAGGCAAATGTGGATTTATGTAGATGCATACATATATATGTATGTATGTATGTTTTACCGTCATATTTCAATTGAAAATTTAAAGGTCTGGGCGAGCAGAGGGCGGCATACACATATTCATTGATCGAGGTATCTTTCTCATGTGTGTGCGTGCATTAGTGTGGGGTGTTTCGCTGGGGAATTGGATGACTTAAAAAAATTATTCGTTGTGCTTTGAGTATATATGTTTTGCCGTTTTGTTTTATTGCTGTTCTTTTTTATTTGGGGTTGGCTGGTGAAAGGGAAATGTAAACAAAGCTTAAAATATGACAAAACGACACTACACACATACATGCAAGCATGCATGTACAAGAATGTATGCGTCTATGTGTGCGTTGCCAGCGCCATCAGCAGATCCAACACTGACACCATCACTAACACACACACGCACACAAACACATACATGAACAATGTATTATATAAGTAATTGCAATTTGCTCTGATTGCTTGTGCCCCTTTTTTCTGATTTAGTTGCAATTACAAGTTAACAACTTCCATGAAATTGAACTAAAATCCAACAAGAATATTTAAACAAAGGAAAATGCACAACATTTAAAAATAATACATTAAAAATGAAGCGCGCGCTTTCACCTTTCACGGCAGAGGAACCTGGAGCGTAATTTGTTTTTTTTTTTCTTTTTTTCACACTGGCTGCAAAAGCAGCAATAACAACGACAACAACGACAACGAAAACAACGAGCAGCCCCGCCAGCAGTTGCCCTGTGTTTTTCTTCGTGTTTTTGCCTTTGCATTTGCTTCGTGCTTTTTCAACTGCAGCAGCAGCGCTTCTTCTTACCTTGAGATGCCGCCGCTGGCACCACCGCCGCCTCCTCCACTAGGTCGACTTTTCCGCTTGCTATTGTTGTTCATAATAGAAGATGGGCAAGCCAATTGCCAATTGCCAGTTGCCAGCACCAAAAGTCGACGAACGCACAGGGAACTTTGATTTCAGTTGAACTTATTTTTGATTTCAATTTTATTTTTATGCGTTTCCTCGGTTGCGTCTAGTTTGCTCGTTTTTTTTCTGTATTTTCGTATTTTTATTTTCTTGTTTGAATACTTCTGATTTCTGTTTCTGTTTCTGTTTCTGTCTGTGTATTGGCTCTTTACTTTTTATCTTTCTCGCTGGCTTTGGCTGGGTGGCTGAATCTGAATTTCGCTTAGCGACGTCACGATGCACAACGGAAACGGGGAAGAAACGGAGACGGGGAACGGTACGATGTCGACAATATGCTCGCTTTAATGGAGAAGTTGTCGCCCGATCTTTTTCGCCTTGCCCGAAGCCAGCATTCAACACTTTTTCTGAGCAACAATAAACAAAACGTTGAAGACGACGACGATAACAAAAACACTAATGGCGGTCTGGCGTTAATTTTTCTAAATATTCACGCACTTCTTTTTGTTTGGGGGTTAGCCTTTCGTGCTTTGTGGCTGGTCGTTTTCTGCTTTGCCTCTGCTTTACGCTTTACCTCCTCCTTCCTTTTCTTCTTCTGCCTTTGCTCTTTTTCACTCGCACTCGCTGGTCGAATTTTGCGAATTTTTGCTTTCATTCAATGGTTGCCTCGTCTCCAATTTCTGCGCTTCTCACTGGCTGGCGTTTTTGGGCAAAAAAACGAGCATTAGCGACGGCGCTTAAGTTGTTTAACGTCAGATAAATATATTTTTGTTCCTAATTATATTTTTATTCGCTGCGATAAACGAACAAGGTTGCACAAAATTTAGCTGAACTGCATATTTAATTCAACTATGGCCAGATATCGATATTTGATTTGCAACCGTAAAATGAAAGAAGATGGTTGTCTTATATCGATATATTACATATTTTTACTGGAATGTGATAATGCAAACAAATAATTTTACTAAATTATGTACAATATTTTAAAAATCAAACAATAATTAAAATGATAACTACTGTAGCATGCCTAACTGAGACAATTAAATTCAATATTATATATCGATACATACGAAGTTATCGAATATAAAAAATCTTTTACAACACTGAAGCGATCAGCTTTATACACTAATGTTGGCGCTAATTTTTAAAATGCTTTTTATTATACAACTGTTATGATAACATATAATATTTATAATTTAAATTGTATGAAACAAAAACAATGTGTAAGCTAGTCTTATATATATTATAAAGACATACCTTATAAACTGAACTATTTCTGAGAATAAAATAGCAACTTAGCATAAAATATCAACTTTTTTGCGATTTAACTGCGCTGTTTGCATTTTATCTTAACAGACAAGCGACAAAAAAGTAGATCAATTGTCTATCACACATTTAAGCCCAGACATTTGCCGACCTTGTTTGTTTTCACCTGTTGACTCTTTCGCACAATCTGTGTCTATTTATAGAGAAATAAATTCATTGAAGATTCTCAATGCAGAGGATAGAAAAGATAGCTGATCTTATGATAAGATTAATGCTTACAACACAACTTCGCAGCCTCGTGATAGTCGCTAGATAAAAAAGTTACTCGCAATTACCTGGAACTAGCTAATACATGTCGGGAAGCAGCTCAGTTAGCTCGAATTTGTCCTCCCAATTAAGACCATTCACAACTGAATCGATTTACAGGTCAGACCTTTTTGCTGTCACAAGATGTTGGCAATTGATTAACATCTGTCAAAATTCATAAATTTAGATGTGATATTAACTATGCGTATTAGCATAAGTTCTAGTTCAAATATTGAGATTGCCTTTTGACTGACAGATGGAAAAGTACGTGGCAGCCCATTGATTGATACGTTTACTCTTATCACATACAGATCGACGATATAAGAGCGACGAGCATATCAATTTAGTTGCTATACCCCCATCTATATATATGTGAAGGCATAGCTCACCTAACACGCGTTAAGTGTCTCATTGTTGTTGTTGTTATCGGGCCGAAAGTTGTCGCCGTTTTCTTGACTCTTTTCATTTTTCTTCTTTATCATAGAAATCTGACCGCGATTCTCACTTATTTATCATTCCAAAATTCACTCATTCAGCAGTTTTCTTTAGATTGCGAAGCGTTGCGCACTGTGGACCAACCCACATAATAAGGGATCAAATAAAAAATAATCGCATTATCCTTATAAAGTATTTTCTGTGAATTGTGCTGGGCATAAACGGATCATCATATATATATATATATATATAAATGTCATTTAACAAAAAACTATCCTTTGATGGTATGTTTCTAATAATATCTATGAAAAAGTGATTTGCTTAATAAATATTTCTCAAATAAAAGAACATAAATATTATTTTAAAAGTGCTGCATATATAATCGGGTATTCTTAGAATTGTGTTCAGTTTACCTTTTGCTCTGATTATCTTTTGTTATATATGCCCTAACTGTTAATAAGCTGTTGATTGAATTGACTTCAATTAGTTTAAAACTTGAGTCGAGTGATATTTAATTCAAGGTTTCAAGTAGAGCTTAAGCTATTTAAAGCCTATTTTATTTTTGTGACCATTTTCAATTGAATTAAGTTTTAATTGAATTTCCCTTGTATTGAAGTGAGTGTTAAATATAAACTCAGAAGAGGCTTTAAATAAGTATATGTTTTATAAATATAAATATAAATATTTATATGTTTTATTGCTTAATATTGAAGTCGTGTCTGGCACACACTGTGTGAAGCAATAGAAGCTGAGCTTTAATAGATAAGAAGTTACTTTTCGTATCTCGCTAACTATTTTAATATGTTTGTTAGAAAATTAAACGGTCTCTTAGTCTGTCTGTCTGTCAGTTTATCTGTCTTTCAGTCTGTCTATCAGTGGGCTGTCAGTGTGTCTGTCAGTCTTTCAGTCTGTCCATCGATCTGCTCGTCAAGCTGTCTGCCCATAGGCATCAGCACATCAAAGCCGATAAGAGCCGGAGCCATATTTTGGGCACGCATCGTCGATAAATTGATATCGATCTTTAGTTGCGCTTAACATATCTCTTACGCAGTATCTTCTAAAGTATACACAGATAATTATGCAGAGAAACACAAACAGTTTTGGATATACTTGTGTTTACTCTCGTCTGTCAAAATGCTAAGCTGCTGGAGGCTTGGCAAATCAAATTAAAAATTATTTTTAAAGCTAGAAACTTTGGAATTTCATGCATAGCAGCGCCGTGTGAAAATGCCAAGAGCGGATCAAAATAGTTAACTTTATTTTCCACTGTCTTACAGTTAGAATCAACAAATTCGAATGGAATTTCCTTATGGATTGGACGACAATGAGTCACAAAGTTTGTCTTCATATTTTTACTTATATTATAAGTTTCCTTTTTAATTATTTATCGCCTTAAAGTTTATATATCCAACAAACATTTTGATGGAATGCTATTGAATTGAAAAGTGCAATAAATTATGAAGGCTTTGATCATATGAAAAAAATTTTAGCTCTATATATGCATTAAATATTATTTTTTATAATAGAACTATTTCAAACTAAGAAACTTTTTAGAATTTTATTATATTTTTATTGCATTCAAAAAGTCAAAATTAAATATATTTTACGAGTATTATATTTAAAGAGCACAGTTCGAATTTACTGTGACCTCTAGAAAAGTTTAAAAAAAAAATATGAAAAAATAAAACAAATAAATAAAAATATTTGTATAATTAAATTGTGGCAAAATTAGAGCTAAACAAATAATAACGGAAATAATAAATTAATTATAATTGGCAAATGTAATTAAAGGTTGGCGGTTAGCTAAAGAGGGAGGCAGAGTCAAAGAGTGAGAGGGAGAGAGAGGGAGAGCGAGTGAGAGATAGAGAGAGGCGAATCGCCATTCATGTGCTTTGGGCATGTCCAACGTTGTCATTAAATTAGCGATACCATCAAATAGATGTGCACACATCTATACACATATACACAAATATATAAAATACACAAATCAGTTATTAGAACACTTAACTCTAAATGGCATGAGCTGCTGCTTCTTCTTTTTGGCGTCACAATTATTAATTCCAAATTTGATGAGTCAACCCAATATTTTGTATTTGCACTCTATTTTTAAGCGCACATGGAGATGAGAGAAGCAACTGCTAATCTAACAGTTAAATAATGCCAGACATGAAGTGTGTTTGCATCAAGGTTAACACCGAGTGACACATTTATTGACTAAAGCAATCAAATGTGCCAATACCTAAAACCGATTAGCTGTGCTCATACAGATGTCCTTGCTGTCGCGGACATATAAGTATCGAATACCAGTAGTAAATAAATTAATTATGTAAACAAATATATAAACAAAATCGCACACGCAACTCTCAGCTTTTGTTTTGCATAAAATTGAAAGAGCGCGCGTCCGGAACTGGTTTTCAATTGCTGCTCAGATCTGTTCCAACACGACTTAAGCTCAGCCATACGATGTACACTTCAGCAGAGCATAACTAATGTGCTAGAAGTTAAGTAGCAGTGTGAAGTTTCAATGAATTATATATATTCAGGAACTGCTTGAGTGCAGACATGTGACCCTATAGGAACTAGGGCTAGCTACAAACAGAAGAGCTCATATTAGCCTGAGCATGCCTTGAGATGGAAGTATAAGAAAACTGGGTTTTCTCTTATGATTATCTCAAATCTTAATTCTAAATATACTCAATCTAATTATTGATTATCTTAAATCTTAATTCTAAATATACTCAATCTAATTACGCCAAGAAGCTCTTGAGGAAACATTCTCTGAACATAAATGATATTTTTTTCTAAGAATTTTCTACATAAAAATGAGATCATAGTAATAAAAATAAGTTTCTCAGACTCTCAAGCCACGCTCTTATAAGATGAAATATGCCTGTTCGCAAAAAAAAAGTTCATAAGGCTTTTAAATATTTCATATTTCACAGTTCCTAGCATATCCAATGCAATCTATAAAAGAGAGAACTCCGAGTACTCTAAGTGTGTCTGGTCTGCGGCGTGTCAAAGCTGTCAAGTTGTGGCTATTTTGATAATGTCGGACTTACAGTCGTGCCGAGCATGACGACAAAAAGTTAATTGCGATTTCACACAATTGAATGAGGCAAAACAAAGCCAGAACAGCTCGGGCTAGAGCTCGGCTGCCGGGTTCAATATCGCACTGCCGAACAGCCTGTGTAGCTGGTTCAGCGCTAAAATTCCCCCTAATCGAATAACAAAAAATAAAAGCTTAAAGCGTTTACAGCTTGCCAATTGGGCAAAAATCGAGAATCAGTACGAAATGCGTTGGCCGTGGAAGCGCACGTTTAGCATTGCAAAGGGTCGCAATGAAGTCGCCGGCAAGCGGCCACAGGCGACAGTTTCTACCATTTACGATCGTATGAGCAGCCAGAAAAAAGCATTTACACATTTTCGGTCTACATTGTTCCACTTTCATTGCAGCCAATGGCGATGGCGAGGTTAAGTATACGGCGAAGAATGGCGACGACTGCTACGAGCTGTCGCACAGCCTCGAGATGGACATGCAGAGCCGATACAGCGCGCCAAAGGAAGCGCATTGGCTGCTGCGCCGCATTTACATACTCACCTGGATACGCAGCTATGATCGGACGCAGGCCTTTGCCGATCTCATAGCGGGCATTACGCTCGGCCTGACCATCATACCGCAGAGCATTGCGTATGCCGCGCTGGCGGGCCTCTCCTCAGAGTACGGCCTGTACTCGGCCTTCATTGGCTCCATTATCTATGTGTTCTTCGGCACAATACCTCAGGTGTCCATCGGGCCCACCAGCTTGATGGCCATCATGACGCTGCAGTTCTGTGCGGACAAGCCCGTGCAGATAGTCATTGTGCTGGCGTTCCTGGCGGGCTTTGTGGAGCTGCTCATGGGCGTCTTTCAGCTGGGCTTCATTGTCAGCTTCATACCGGCGCCTGTGACCAAGGCGTTCACGTCCGGCACCGCTGTGATCGTGGTGCTGGCGCAGATGAAGAGTCTGCTCGGCATTCGTCTGAAAAAGGTGGCCTCAATCGAAAACTACTTCGAAAATATTATAATGTCGGATACCATTCTGGGAATTACGTGCCTCTGCCTGCTGCTCGCACTGCGTGTAAGTCTCGTCCGTCAGGCTTTGCTGTGACTACGAATCTTACCAGATGTTTCCTATCTATTCCAGCGGCTGTCCCAGGTCCAGTTTAAGCAGGATACGCCGCTGACGCAACGCCTCAAGAAGGTGCTGTGGTACATCAGCATCTCGCGCAATGCTCTGATTGTCTTCTTCAGCGGTCTAATGGTCTACGTGTGGGTGCACAAGAGCTCGCTGCAGGCTATACCCTTTGCGCTCTCCTCGAAGGTCTCTTCGGCCATGCCCAGCATCCAGTTGCCGCCCTTCGCCTTTGAGCATGAGAATCGCACCTATGTCTTCACCGACATCCTGCACGAGCTGGGCAGCGGTGTCATTCTAGTGCCCATTGTGGCCGTCTTGGCGAATGTGGCCATAGCCAAGGCCTTCGGTGCGTATACGTAATGTGGGCAATTGAACTCGTTCGCTCATGATGCTTAGTTTTACAGTTAAGGATGGCAAGCTGGATGCCTCGCAGGAGATGTTGACACTGGGCCTCTGCAACTTGGCCGGCTCCTTCTTCAGCGCCATGCCCACCTGTGGAGCCTTCACGCGCTCCGCGGTCAGCCAGGCGTCGGGCGTACGCACGCCTATGGCTGGCATCTATACGGGTCTGATTGTGCTCTCCGCGCTGTCCATATTGACGCCCTACTTTCAGTACATACCGAGAGCGTCGCTGGCAGCTGTGCTCATTGCAGCAGTTGTCTTTATGGTAGGCTATAGAGATACTCTACAATATATATAGATCTTAGCTATGTTTCTGCTGACCAGATTGACTTGACGCCCATCAAGGAGCTGTGGCGCACCAACAAAAAGGACTTCTTCAGCTGGACGGGCAGTCTGGTCATGTGCCTGATTGCTGGCGTTGAGATGGGCCTGCTCTTCGGCATCGTGGTCAGCATGATCTGCATTCTGCTGCGCCTGGGCAATCCCAGAATTGAGGTCACTCTCAAGCAGGTGCGTGCCGCGCGAGCAATCGCCAGACTTTTCCATACTTCATAGAGTTTCATATGCTTTGCAGTGCGAGTCCAATTATTACGTTCATATTGTGCCGCAATCGGATATTTTCTATACGGGCGTAGACATGCTGCGCACGGAGATCGTATCCGCGTGTCTCTTGTATCGCAACGACTTTCCGATCGTCGTGCAATGCTCACGCTTCATGCAGTTCGATGCGACCTTTGTGGAGATGCTGAACGCCGTGTCCAAGGAGCTGGCCAAGGACAATGTGGTGCTGGTGCTGCAGCACATGTCGCTCAAGCAGCAACAGATGCTGCCCGTCACCAGCAACATACGCTTCTGTAACGAGGATCAGGAGCTCTTTCCGCACGAGTCCAAGCAGTAGTCAAGCCCCGCCAAAATCCACATCCGCTTGGCCATGTTGACTCACGTCACAATCTGTTTTTTTTTTTCCTATTGCTTTAATTGCTCTGGCGTCAGAGGTGTCTGTCCACCTGTGCCCAGTCGGCGCTGGCTCGCGTGCGCATGTTGTTCACAACTTTGCGCTTATAAGTGCCTCCATATAGCAATTTAGATGTATAAATTAAAGTCAACCTCTGGCGTTTATCGCAGCAGCCACTCAGTAAACAGATCCACTACTTAATTGTACTTTATTGCTTGATTGTACTCTGCTTAAATACTCTTCGCTCGGCTCTAGAAGCTGTACACAAGCCAACGTAGTTCCTTTTCTTACGTCAGCTGTGAAATGTAAATAATACAAAAATAATAAAAACTCGTATAAAAATAAAACATAAAAGTGAAGCACGATACCTTTCTACTTTAATTCCACCCACTGGGGGGCCACAGCAGCTGATAGCTCTTGGGTCATAAAATCATAAACATAAATGAAAAGAATTTTTATTTAAAACTTTATATATCAATAGTGGCATAGGGCAGAAGCTTTTCTTCTATAGTTTATTTATATTTTATCTATCTATTAATAAATCTTACTATTTATCAATATTTCTATCTATCTATCTATATTATCTATAATTTACTCTCAATATTTATATCTATAGTATTTATTATATCTATATTATCTATAGTATCAATAGTAGCTATAGTATCTATAGTATCCATAGTATCCACTGTATCTACAGTATCTATAGTATCTATAGTAACTATAGTATCTATAATATCCACAGTATCTATAGTATCTATAGTATCTATAGTATCTATAGTATCAATAGTAGCTATAGTATCTATAGTATCCACAGTATCTATAGTATCTATAGTATCTATAGTATCTATAGTATCAATAGTAGCTATAGTATCTATAGTATCCACAGTATCTATAGTATCTATAGTATCTTTAGTATCTTTAGTATCTATAGTATCCTTAGTATCTCTACTATCTCAACTATCTCTACTATCTGTACTATCTCTACTATCTTTACTATCTATACCATCTATAATATATATTTCTTTCTATTTCTATCTCTCTCCACTATCTTTCGTTTCTTTCTCTCCCTTTCTCTTCCTTCACCAAGCTATTGATACACAATATACAAAATTCATATCTATTTTTAACGTAATCCAACTCAAGTCCCAACTTGAATCCCTCCTAGGGATGTCCTAACTCATCCCACGTATTCCCTTAACAAAACTATTTTTTTTTCGGTCTTCTATTCCGATACCCCGCTTAACAGCTGGGAAAGTTCGATGAAAAATTAAATCAGATTTTTTATTGCTTTTAAGCAAATGCGCTCATCGTTAATTTGTAGACTCATTAACGGCTCAAAGCACAATTCCAGACGTCATTAAGTCGACGGCACATATTTCGTGTCCCGCACACGCTGCTTGAGGTAAATTTCCCATTTTAAATTGTTATTTAATTTTTATTCTTTTCACTTTTTTGTTTTTATCTTTTTTGTTTTGCTTCTGTTTTGTTATTCAGTAAGGAAATTATAAGTTATAGAAAAAGTATAATATACTGTATAACAATTTAGTTTGTATCTTGTTTATCATTCCGTAATGCGTAGTTTTTCATTTTCATTTTCATATTCTGTTTTCTTTTTCTTTTGCTTTACTTTTATCTTGAATTGTGTTAAACAGCTTTTTGATTTAAACTGTTTCAAATAAATTGTGTACTTTCTGTAAATCTGTGTCTAAGTAGTTTGTGTCTGTCTGTCTGTGTGTTGACATATGTATGCCCTTGCCACAAGTCCCTCCCGATAGCTCGATAGCTGAATCGTACTAGACTATATGTACATATGCATTCTGGCCAAGTTAATAAGAAATAAGAACGAGACGGAGCGAGACACGTGTGCTTAGTTCTTTGCCTATACCTGATTGGCAAGGGTATACAAGCGTCGGGCATGCCGACGCTCCATGTCTTCTGCCTTAAACTGTGTAAAACGATGCATCTCTGCTCTGCTGTGTGGCTAAATAATACAATGATTTGATTGTAAGGTAAAAATTATTTACGTGGGAAAAGTTAACGCTTGTTTCATTAAAGATATATTTATATATATACTATATATATATGTGTGTGTGTGTGTGTCCGTGTGTAGTTGTATAAAGATAACATGTGGATTTGTCGCCTTTCGACTGGAATCATATTTAACTATTTATGCCGATGTACACATACATATACATAGGCTATCTCTATGGTGTGACTACTTTTCTCAGTTAACAATTTACAGTTTGGGCTCTGATCTATGTCTTGTGCTGTGTTATAACAAACAGTTATTGTAGTTGTTGCTATGGTCTGGCTGAGTATCTCCCTCCTCCCTCCTCCCTCCTCCTTCATCTCTCTCACTGAAGTATCCCAGTTCTGCAAAAACGTTTTGTTTTGTTTTAAAGTAATGATGCGTTCACAATTCACAATTCACAATTTCTCTCGATAGCCATCAATTTGCACATCTGTTTAATATGCCATTCATCTTTATAAGGTTATAGTTTCTTTTACGTTTTTATGATAATAATTTTGCTTTTTTTTTTGTTTTTTCGTAGTTGTTTTTTTTTTTTGTTATATTTTATACTTTCTGTTTTCGTAAAGCAAGAGGTACGCATTGTATTTGTTGTTTAAGTGTTTTCATTTTTATGTGTTGCTAAAGCAATTGTTAAACATTAGGAAACATCTTTTTGTCGAACAGGTAAAAGCAATTATGAAAAGGAAAGTCGTACGCTTACTGACATGACGGACTGTACTAGCTAAGTCATATTTAAATATTTAAGTAAAGCAATCATGAAAATTTCAAATGTTTGTTTTTTTTTTGTTTTATAATTTTAAGGTAAATATGTATGTTGTTTTTGTTTTTTATGGATAGTCATTAGTAATTAGCTGGAAGGTTTGATTTGTAGAGTTGAGAAGGAAAGAAAATTTAGAAGAAACTTGAAAGAATTGGCCAAGCATGTTGCATGTTGCATGTTGCATGTGTTGCAAATATATATATGTATGTATATATATATTTCTATGTATGTTTGTAGATTATCTTCAGGCGTTTTTTGTCAGAAATTTGTATTAAATATATTTATATATTTGTATGCCACATATCTTATTTTAGTTGATATTTGCTTTAAAGCTGCAGGACTTGGGCAACGGAGAGACGGTATTTGTGGCTGGGTTTCAGAGTTCGATTTCGATTTCGACATTAGCTTTGGCTATTTCTTCTTTTGCTCCAATGAAAGTTTAGGCCAGACTTGAAGGTTTAGTTAAGGTTTTTATATATATATATATGTATGTATATATAAGTTTGCATATGTGTATGCATGTGTATGTATGTATATGTAGTATATGCGTATATATATGTTTAGATCATATTTTGTTTACCATTTACCTTCTTTTTTAATATATAATTATTTTGTTATGTTTTCTCTTTTGTTTTGTTTTTTTTTTGCATAGTTTTTGGTGTGTCCATCGCCTTTTATATTGCTCAACTTTCCATTCCTATTCTTAGGCTTTGATTTATAAATTTCATTTAAATGATTTATTCATTTTTGTTTGTTTTGTTTTGTTTTGGTTTCTTTAGTTTTAATATATTTTAAATATATATATAATATGTGTATGTTTTTTGGATTTCACTTTTAGTTTTTTTATTTTTGTTTTTTACTTGTATTTATTTATAAACTGGTCAGCAACAGTAGCAAATTTAACAATGTGCGTTAACAAATAATTTGTAAATATAATGTATGTATGTATATAATATATGTATTTTCCACTCCGCCTCTATCATTTGCCTTATTAGATGTATATATATATATATGTGTGTGTGTGTGTATGTGTGTGTGAGAAGTTGCAATGGAGCTCTTCATTCATTTGTCTATTTTTTGTCATTTTTTTGTATATTCAATTTATTTATCTTTGCTATCAATTTACTTAAATTGAAAATTTGTTAATTATTTTATTAAATCAATTTTACAACAATTTATGTACTTTCTTCTGCTTGATGTTGTTGTCTCCGCCTGTGTTCAGTATTATTAATATTTCTATCAATTGTATTAATAAAAAATATTATCATTAGCTCTATTAGTTGCATTCATCAAATCAACATTACAACATCATTTACACAGGCCCACAGCGGACTGGGGGATTCTTTGATTTTGCATCCGGCTTTAACTTTATCTTTGTATAATTGTGTATACATATGTATATATGTACGTGTATACATGTATATATTTATATATGTATATATTAGCTTAGTAATGGTAATCAATAGCATAATCATAATAATAGATCTAATCTACGAATAATATAACAGGACCCTATGGAATGACCAGGGTTATTTGCCAAAGCCGAACCCGAACTTGCCAAACAGATCTTTGCCTTTCGAGAGGACGTCGCCGCCGGGCGCCGCTGCTGCGATGCCCTTGAGGCCACCCAGCAGACCGGCGCCCGGTCCCTGTGGCGGCGGCTGGGCTTGCGGTGGCATTTGTTGTTGTTGCATGCCGGGCTGCTGTTGCTGCATGCCAGGTTGTTGCTGCATGCCGGGCTGTTGCTGCATCCCGGGCTGTTGCTGCATGCCGGGCTGCTGCATGCCCGGCGGCATCTGCTGGGCACCGAAGGCGTTTGCTTGTTGCTGCGTTGGCTGCACACCGCCAGGTGGTTGCATTGGATCCGTTTTGGGCGGTTGCTTCGACCCAAATAGACCACCGGTGGCAGCCGAAGTAGCACCAGAGAGCAGGCTAGTTGCCCCCGAGAAGAGTCCGCCCGTTGGCGCCTGCGTCGTCACCGGCACCTGTTGCTGCTGCTGACCCATTCCCATCTGTCCCATTTGTCCCATTTGACCCATGCCGCCCATGCCGCCCATCTGTTGTCCCATTTGCTGCTGTTGCTGCGTCTGTCCGCCCATCATGGCCATCGGCTGTTGGCCCATTCCCATCATTCCACTTTGTCCCATGCCCATTTGTTGCTGTTGTTGCTGCTGCTGCTGTTGTCCCATTTGCGTCTGTTGCTGACCATAAGGTTGTTGTTGCTGCTGTTGCTGCTGCTGCTGGAGTTGCTGCTGCTGCATGCCGACATTACCAACGCGACCGATCATCTGCAAGTTGGCGGATTTCGAATATACACCAAAACATATTGAATTAGTCGAGTGATTCCAGTCTCGTTAAATAGATCTTCAAGTAAATGGCAACTAATCATTTAAATAATCGTATTTATGGGTATTATGGGTATTCGCATTATATTCGTACGATCTTTATCAAAATTTGTCATGAGTTTAGCGTATTCATTTAATAATAAAAAAAAAATTAAAATAACATTTTTTCGATATGAATCTAAATATTTAGTTAGTAGTAGTTGCCGCCGAGAGAGAGGATTTGGTTGAGGTTGGTTAGTAAGTAACATAATTGCAGCTACGTTCAACTACTACGCAACGTATCGTATAAAGATGCTAGTATATGGTATAGATATATGTCAGTATATATGTGGCAAAAACCTCATCAAAATTGTGTTGAGATCGCGTCGTCAATCTCGGAACAACGGTAATCGCTACGAACTGAGCTCAAAATATAAACTTTGCCCAGAAATGCATTCAATACATAGTATATATATATATATAAATATATATATATATATATATAGATGAGATATCTACAAATCGTAGGATTGATTACTTTCCATTTGATTTTCTCCATTCAATCAAAACGAATGACAGTACAAGTTTGTCAACATTTGTTGTGCTCAAAATCATTTGATTGAAATTTGAAAATTTATGTAGAACTAGCAACGTTTCTCAATTAAAACAAGACATAATGATGCCTGGCATAAGGGCAGCAAAAAAAATCAAAATATATTTTAAATACATATATATATATATATATATATATATATACATATATATATATAGATATATATAACATTATTTGAGTAATCGAAGCTAGGGGAAAAAATAGAAAATTATGAAAAATAAAACCTACAAACTCTATGCAAAAATGTTCACATTGGCGATTTCTAGTTATTTACACTAACTTAAGATTAAAATATTAACCATTCTGTATGTGTGTGTGGCTAGGTGTGTGTGCACGCGTGTGTATGGGTATGTGTTTAAAATGCATTTAAAATCCCATTTACTATAAACTTTTTGATTGAAATTCGTTTCAATCTTTCGCAGGCTTCGATTCGTTTTTTTTTTTTTGGTACTCGAGATTTTTCTTTTTTAATTTGTTTTTCCTTTTTCCCGATAAAGAAAAAGAGCCTTAAGCTAAACCAAAAGATAAGCAGAAATCAAATTTGTGACATTTTAGTGAATCGAAAACTAAAATCATCGATGTGGCAATGGAGGGTAAAGCAAAAGGCATACAAGAGAACGAAACGAAGAGTTCATATTGAAATCATATTGAATGTCAAACCAAATGATATGATTCGAAATCAAAATCGAATAGTTTACACATACAGTGAATCACATAGAAATTTTATACACATCACATCCAATATTTCATATAGTAATAGTAGCAATTAATATATATGTAATTAGTAGCGTATACGCAGAGAGAAAATCAAAAGGAACTCAAAATATAAAGAAGATATATTTTTAGATATAGTTAAGTACGAGTACGAGAGTTTTAGTTTTGAGTTTTAAGTTTTGAGTATACGGGTGAATACAGCCTATCAGCAATATATGTATATATCGTATCTGGTATTTAATGTCTTGAGTTTGGGTGTTCCGAGTACTTTCAGCAATTGTTCGTATATACACACTCGATATCTGTTGAAGCGAACATAGGAAATGATAGGAAACTTAGGCTTATAAACTATATCTGTGAGACGCCTACATAATGCTTCAGCTGACAAAAGTTGTATTGTTATAGAAACGTTTTCCGAAATATTAGCAATTAAACTTGTACATAAACAAAATATGCAAATAAACGAAAGAAGTAAGATTTGAATTGAATAACAGAAGTATGTAAATGTGATTGATTGATTGATGGTGCTGTTGGAATTGTTATGATGTCTGTTTGATAAGATCAGATCTGAAGATCCGTTACACACACACATTCAGTATATATTGTATATAGATATATACATATTACGCTATAATATGTGCTAAGCATATGTAGTTGCCGAACAATCGTACAGAATGTAGGTAAGGAACTTGATTGATTGACTGATTGGCTGACTGATTGCTTTACAGGTGTATTTATAATGCTGTTGATGTTGATTTCTGTTGGCTTTGTTGTTCTGTTGGATCTATACACTGTACTACACGAGATTCTATAAACATGTTGCTAGCTATACATATACATATATGTACATTGTTTCTCAAATATACATACATATGTATGATACATATATATATCGCGCTTCTATATGGTAAGCAAATTATTGTTCATGTACTGTACTGTAAGCGTTTTGTATGGATTATCAGAGCATTGGATATACGCACAAACATAGATCAGTATATATATAGATAGTGAATGAGTTTATATATATATTGACAGATATATTTATATAGACAGATTTAGACAGAATTAAGATAGATAGAGCGAACGAGCGAGCGAGCGAATGGACGATCAATATATATATAGATATGATAAAAAGAATTTACAAAAATAAGCTTATGAAACCGTGTAGGTATTGAACTGTACTCTAAGTTTAAGCTATGGCAGATGAGTATATAGGTGTTCGAACTGATCGTGTGTGTTCACTAGATCGTATTGTGCGTGTCTGTTAACTGAATGGATGAGTTTGTATAACACAATTGATTGTTTTCAAGAAAGAGAGCCGAATTCAAATGAGCGACAGAGATAGCAGCTGTAGAAATAGTAGTAGTAATAGTAGTAGAAGTAGAAGTAGTAGTAGTAGTAATAGTAGTAGTAGTAGTAGTAGTAGTAGTAGCAGTAATAGTAGTAGTAGTAGTAGTAGTAGTAGTAGCAGTAGTAGTAGCAGTAATAGTAGTAGTAGTAGTAGTAGTAGTAGTAGCAGTAATAGTAGTAGTAGTTGTAGTACTTGTATTAATAATTATAGTTTTTGTTGCGTATGAGGTGTTGTTATTTATATAAATATTTTTTTGGCGCTTTCTTAACTTTTTCTTTGAGTAATTGTTTTTAAAGCATTTATTTTCAAAAAGGAGTATTTGTTTATTTTTGCTTTTATTTTGCTTGGTTTTTTTTTTAAATTTTTTCTTCAAGTATTTATATGAAACGAAAAAAGAAAACAAAAGAGAAAAGAGTATTTACCTGCGTTTGGTGATCGGGGGCAGGGTGGCCCGTGTTGTCTAACAGTGTAGGGGAAGCAGGGCGAGCATCTATAGCAACGAATATAACATAAAGACTTCACATTTACCACAGCAGACCATTACAAAAAATTATTTGAAAGAAGTTGTAGTAGTAAATGAAACCGAAGAAACGAAAAACTCAAATCAAAATAAACGAAAATCGAATCGAAAACAAATCAAATGAAAACTAATTGAATGTAGTCTCAAAGTTTGAGTTACAGCTGCTGCCTGGTAGGGTTTACTCTTACTTATATAGAATATATCGAATCGTGATCGTTAGCGTTACGCGTGGGTCCGAGAATCAGTTTCAAGTGGTTTGTCTTACATAATTCACCGCAGTTGGAAAACGAAAATCCAAAAATACAATCAGAAAATCCAAATAATAAAATTCAAACCAATTTGAGAACGAAATGAAATTAATTTTAAACATTTTTACGGGGGGCATTGCAAATTGTAATTGAAATTGAAATTGTAATCGAAATCGAAATAGAAATTTTGGTTGCTTGCAAAACGATTTCTCGAAAACACAATACAAAACGGAGTAAAAGGCGCCAAAACGTAATGGATCGCTAGGAACAATTGGCAAGAGTCAAAACTGTTGATCAAGTTAGTTAAGAGTTATTGTACAAATATGTAGATACGCTGTAGTAGTTACTTAATTTGATGAACATCGTGTATGTAAGTGGCATTAAATAGTATATTACCTTTTGCGCATGGCGTCTGGTCTTACGAAAATCAAATCCCTATAAAAGCTGCGCTGGGCAGCGTATCTTAGGTATTTGATGATTAAATTAATTACACATTGAATAGTTACGGCCAGTTAGATGATGGCTCGCATAATATTGTAAATACATATATATTAGTATATGATTATAGTTATAGGGTTAAGACTTTAAAGAGTTTTTGTTTATATATTTTACACTGAAGAAATGTACATAGATTACAAGGAGAATGCTCTTCATTCAATTGAAATTCACTTCATATATATATATATATATATATATATATATATATATATATATATATATATATATATATATATATATATATGTATATATGTTATATGTGCTTTAAGCCCCTGCGGTGTTGTTGTTTTTGTTGTTATATCTCTAAGGAAACCGAAAAGAAAATTTAAAAAAAAGGAAGTAGAATGTTTATCCAAAATATCGAAATTGGCTAATTGGCAAACAAACGAGAGCAAACATTCAAAACCAGCACAAAAGTAGATATAGATATAATTAAGTAAGAAGAAGAAAAGTAAGAAAAAAGTATATATTTATAGATATATATTTGTTGTAAAAAGCACATATGGGGCATAGAAATCGGAAAGAAAGGTGAGTACATTCGATTTCAAGAGTTTTTTTGTTCCTTTCTGAAGTAGCGACTGGCTGGAAACATACATTGAGTGACTGGAAACATACATACATACGCGTATGTATTACGGTTGATTTGATCCTAAAAGCTAGATTCGTGATTATGTACAGCAGCGCGGATCGCATTCGACGTTATCTGATCATAAACTCTATATCTTATCGGTGAACAACTAAGGAATTACAGTTCATTCGGCAATCAGGTGCAAGAAACTAGTCTCTGTTTTATGCAAATAAATGGTTAACTAAATAAAAAAGAAGACATAAATTATATATATGTATAAAATAAATATATAAATGATATATATACTCGATTTAATTGACATGCAAGAGACCATCTAGAAGTTTGCAAGGCTAGAGAAAGTCACGCAAGACAAGAGACAAAAGTAGAGACAATTTTATTTGGATTTAAGAAAGTTAGTGTATAGACAGCATAAGAAAAGAACAACAACAAATGAAGGGAAAGGAAAGAGTTTTATGTGCATAAAGAGAAGAAATCTTAAAGACTTGAAAAACATCTTTAATTGTCAAATCAAACTGAGAAACCAAAATGAAAACAGAAAGCGAGAGCGAGAGATAATTTAAAGATCGTGTATACAACAACAAGAACAACAACTATGTATCTATATATTGTATTTGATAAGGATTATATAATTCGATTTCGAACCAAAGAAAAAGAAAAAGAAAACGAAAACGAAAACGAAAACATTTCTGACTGGTGCTGAAATTATGAAATATTTTACAAAGTCAAACGCAAAAGTTAAGATAAGGTAAAAACAATTGAATTAGTTGTAAAGAAATGTTGGAACATTATATAAAAAGATCTGCGGATTCAAAAGAAATATACATGTGTATATATTTATATATATATTAGAAAAAAATTAGCGGCGTTCAAAACAGAAATTGTATTGAGTTCATTGATTCATCTGTAACTGTTTGTTATAAATATTTAGAATTTTAATATATATATTTTTTTGCGAAAGAGTTAGACAGAAAGAGAGAAGAGTGAAAGATTTTTCAGGTGTCGTCACGAAACTTGTTTTTTTTTTTTGAGTATGATAATATCGTGTTTAATATATATTTCGCTGATTCCAGATTGATATTACGTATGAAATTAAAAAAGCAACAGAATCTTGTGGTTGGTTTCAGAACAGTTGCTATATACTATATATATGTATATCATCCTGCTTGTTTTAGTGTAGTCTGAAAAACCTGCATATTTTATTATCTTATAAAGTGTATAATGTATTTTTTTTTTGCTTTGAGATATTCCTTCTTTTTTCATTTCATTTTTTCTTTTTTTTTTTTTTGAATCGAAACGCAAAGTGAAAATCATAAGTAGAAAGCCTGTAATTGCTTGTCGAATAAGTTTTTTTAGTATCATATTTAGTAAAAATTGTATTGAAATCATAAGGAAAATAATTGAAAAACAAACACAAAAGAATGCAATTAAATTGATTGATCGAATCGATCTGCACAAAGCCCACTTACTTTTGCCTTGTGCGCCACGCTGCCCAGCCACGCCGGGCATCATGTTGTCGCGGGGCGGCGGGGGCGGTCCCCTGGCCCCGGGCCCCTGGCCTCTGCCACGTTGAGCGAGACTGCCGCGCCCAGCGGCGCCGCCAGGTCCCATTTGATTGTTGTACTGATCGGGCGCATCGGCCAGAAAATTGGATGGCACCAAGCCCCGAACACCGTCCAGTTCGCCCATGTAGAAACCATCTTCATCCATATCACCGTAAACGAGTATGACCTCACCCGTCTTGAAACACAGCTCCACTTGCTAAACGAGAGTGGTGAGAATATTGAATTGGAAGATGCCCTTGCCTCTGCCGCGCACTCACCTCGGCGTCCACATTCGGACTTAGCTCCTGGGGATCGTAGTCGTAGAGGGCGACCATTCGTTTCACGGGCATATTCGCATAGATGTCGCCCCAGCGATCGCGGCTCACGTTGCGCATGCTCTGCTGCGGCGCGTTCTGGCCGGGTATCACCTGGCCGGTGCCGGGCGTCGTTGTCTGGCCGCCGGTTATTTGGGTAGTGGTGTCCTCCATCTCGCTGACCATGTTGTGCGGCACATAGCCGCGACGGCCGCGCAGCTCGCCCCAATAGAAGCCGTCGGCGTCCTTATCACCAAACACCTGCGCCACAGACCGTAAAAGAAAAGCAATGACTGTTAGTAAGAAGAAGAGAGTGAACTAACCAGAGCTATATATATATATATAGTTATAATGCTATTTGGTAGTGTATGTATATGTGCATATAGCTAACTTAACGTTTAGTTATGGAACTATTAGAGAGAGAGAGAGAGAGAGAGAAGAGAACAACGTCTACTTAGTGTTTGGGTAATAGTTACTGTATTGGGGATTACATAAGTTGGTAGTATCTTGGATATGGATATGGATATGCTTAAACTTATCGGTAACAATCTCAACTGTATGTTAGGCAAATGGGGCAGACTGAGCATAATTATTGTCGAAGGAAAAACATGCACAAAATTCATTCATTCAATTAGCGGCAAGCGCAGCCAATTGTTGGCAACGTTCCAATTCGGCATCCAATTCAGAGCAAGCGCTGCTTTCCAGATTAGCTGATGCTGATTGTTGATTAGGAATTGCTGATGCTGTTTGCTGGTTGCTTTACCATTTCGTGTTACGCTGACGTTCCGCCGCCTCTTAATGGCTCAGCAAGTGCGTCGCGGCTGCAAAGTGTTTTGGTGGTTCTGTGTTACGGCAAAATTGCAAAGAGCTTACCTTGATAGTATCGCCCTCTTGGAAGGGCAGCTCTTCGTCGCACCCATCTGGATTAGGACTCATTGTGGATGGATCGTAGTCGAACATTGCCATAAAATAGCGCGGCTTCTTCTGGGCCGCGGACAATTGTTGCTGCTGCTGTTGGCCCGATTGCTGCTGCCCGGGTAACATTTGACCCTGCTGCGCCTGCTGCTGTTGCTGTTGCTGTTGCTGCTGCTGCTGTTGTTGCTGCTGTTGGTTGAGTGCACCGCGTGGACCTTGCACTTGACCAGGCAATTGGCCTGGCAGTTGGCCCGCCATTTGGCCTTGCATTTGACCCGCCATTTGACCCTGCATGTGACCCTGCATTTGCCCAGGCAGTTGCCCAGCCATTTGACCCTGCATGCCGTGCATTTGACCTTGCATCTGTCCCGGCACGGGTCCACGAAAGCGTGCTCCCTGTGCTCCGTACTGCTGCTGCTGCTGCTGCTGCTGCAGCTGCTGTTGTTGCGTCTGTTGCTGCTGCTGCTGCTGTGGTCCCTGGGGTCGTCCTGGCACCATGCCGCGCTGTGGTGCAGTCGGCTGGTAGCCCTGCATATCGATAATTTATCGATCGTGGATAGCACGCGCATGAATTTGAATTAATTTAAATGAATTTGAAATTTTGTTAGCATTTTTTTTGGTTCTTTTTAGATTTTCGCAAAGTTTGTTCTTAGATTGTACTCTGTTTTTCATTCACATTGTCTAGAGAGAGGTAAGTTCTTTAGCAATGTGCGGGCGTCTGCGCATAGCGTTAAGGCTCGACACAACTAAAGAGGTTATATAGTTACATATGTATATAGACTAAGTAGTATATGTGTGTGGATCTGTTGTATATCTGTGTATGTGTATAGATCTGTACATTAAGAAAGGCGCATTAAGCAGGAGTCTAAGTACAAACAGCTGGGAAATCATAAAACTATGGCTGATAGGTCAAAGGCAATTACGAAGCTAGTTTGTTAAGTGTTGTTTGTTTTGGAGATAAGAAAGCACGAGTTTGAGTTGAAATGGTAGCCAAGTAGATGTTAGGTTCGCTACCTGTAACTGTTGTCTGTGTTGTGGTTGGTATACACATGTCGCTAATATGAACTGCAAACCTACTGAACACTAATTTATATGTATACTTACACACACATATATATACATATTCATATATATATATACACATGTACATATAGCAACTTATTTTATATATATATAACAAGAGGTTTATTTATCGTTGATGCATTTCGTATATAGTTAGCGGGCGCTGAGACTATCCCAGTCAACGGGCAGTGGATAAGCATTTGCAATCGATTTTATATACATAATTGAATATCGCTTGAGATTGAAAAGGTTATTGTTTAGCATATAGTTACGATCGCTAAGATATCGTAGCGTGTATCCTGGCTAACCATGCAAAAGCTCAACACTTCATTCACGACTTTTCAAGCTTCCCTAAAGACAAAAGTTTGCCCTCAAAAATAGGCAAATATTTTTTGAAAAAATTAACAAAAATAAAAAGTTTGCTAAATGAAAAGTTTTATGAACTAAGAATCGAAAAGTTTCAAATAATATTTATAACTCAGTATTTTGGTTCTTAGCATTTCGTTAAAGCTTAAGTTAAGCATAGTTCTACTGGTTTTTAGTTAATTATAATATATTCATAGTTAGTTTAAGCTATTGAACTTGAGATACGTATTACTAAAAATGCAGCGAACTCTTAAGATGAGTTTTTACTCTAGGCAAAAGTATTACAATTCAACTTATATGTTAGTGTGTGTGTGTGTATGTGTGTGTTTAATACGAATGTGTATGTGAGAGATGTTGTGGGTATAACTTACATTCTGGTTCACTTGATTCTGTGTGGGTTTCGAGAAGAGGCCACCGAGCAGGCCACCTAACAAGCCGGAGCTTCCGTCGGGCTGTTATCGATTCGATTCGATTCGGTATGGTAACGGGTTAACGGTATCGTTTCATATAATGAAAATGAATATGTATAACTTGTTTTGGTTTAAAATTGTTCGTTGCATTGCGTTTTTTGTTTTTTTTTTTTTTTTAATATTTTAGATTTCCTTAATCAAAGTCCGCTCAAAATACTTATTGAAGTAAGAAAAGTTTCTATTGTTCAAACTGAGTAACTCAATTAAGTTTTTGCATTTGGCAGCAAAGTTTTTGGAACATGCTATTTGTGAACTGTACTAAAACGAAAACGAACACAAAAACCAAACCAAAAACCAAATCCAAAATCAAAATCCAAATCAAACACTAGCATTAAGAAATCGGCATACGTTTGTCACACAGAACCGAAAGATCAACTAAATTAATAATAAACAATTTACATACATACAAATTCTTTTTTTTTTTTGGATTTTAAGGTTATTTAGTGGGTCTCAATTCAAGTTGCTTTGGTTCTTATAATATATATATATAGTTATTATACTTTCTCATGGATCTCGGCAACACAGTTCATTTTTTTTACAAAATTTTGTGTGTGAATTTTGTGCGATTGTCTAATATTTCATAGAGTGTATGTATATAATGTGGTTATATTGCAAAAGAATTCATAGAAAATAGGTTGAGAGCAGTAAGTAGAGTAGTAAAGGCAATTCATAATAGATATAGAAAGATATAGAAAGTATATAGGTAGCTGAATACTTTTCCTTGTTTTTACTTTTCTTTTTTCATTTTTTTCTTTTTTTTTAAATATCCATTATGAACTCGGAATCAAGTCGATGTTCGTTTCAACCAAAAACAAACTGAACACAGGTTGGTTAAGTATATATAGTATGTATATGTGGGGGTTTTTTCTTTTGGATTTTCCATTTGAGTATCATATATACAAATCATAACGGGGACATTTGGATTGGCATTCAAATTCGGATGGAGTACGATCTACATTTGGTAGAACTTTATGTACAATCTTTTTAAAGGAAATTTTGGAAAAGTCAGTGGAAATAATAACGAAAGTTAGACGAACAAATCAAACGAGTTATGTACAGTGAGTGTCAGAGTTAGGCGATCTGCAACACGGATCTGGCTAAGTGACTGACAGTTGGGTGCGGCGCACACACTAACCTGATGACCCGGCTGGGCCTGGCCCGGCTGCTGGTTGGGCAGCTGGCCCGGCTGTTGCTGCTGCTGCATCTGATTGGGATCGTATTGCGTGTGGTCCTGCTGGCCGACCATCATGTGCGACTGCCCGGTCATGCCCACCTGATGCTGCTGCATGGGCATGCCGTGGAGGCCCTGCTGCGGCAGCTGCGGACCCATGCCCATTTGATTTGGTCCCCGGCGAGCGACAGCGTTGCGCACGTTGTCTGTAGATGAACAGATCTTAAGAGTCCAATTCAAATTGATAGTCATGGGCGCACTCACTTGGTATTAAGATGGGTGCACTGTCCGCCGACTGTGAATCGCGAGATTTGGTGCGTATGGTAACGGCCCGGGGATTGAAGACGCCCAGCTTACCGATGTCGATGAGTGCATGATCGCCCGTGGGTGAGTTAATGTCGGTCACCTTCTTACCATCGGCGTACACAGCATAGCCGGTTACGGGCCCCGTAGACGTGGGTCGGTTAACCGGCTGCCATGTCACCAGAATGGTGCCATCCTGAGGACCAGCCTCCAATTGGATGTCTTGTGGGGGATCAGGCAAACCTTTGGTCAGTGTGCGAAAATCGGCATAGGCGCCGGGTGCTTCCTCCTGGCCGGGTCTGCCCGGTGCTTGCGGCGTATGCTGGCCAACGGCACGCAAGTGCTTGGCCCGCACAGTCACCCGATATTGGGTGCTCGGCGCTAGCCCGGTTATTGTATGCCTATACATGCCCGGCTTGACGGTGCGCACCTCCACATTGTTCACACACACCACGTGCTGGTGGTTGGAGTTGGCTGGCAGCCATGAGATAACCGCCGAGGAACACGTTATGTGCGAGGCGCGCACCGCCGAGGGGCCCAAGTGCGAAGTGTCTCGCCCAATGATCATTGTGCAGGCGGCGTCCCTGGACGTCTGACGGGTTTGCGTAACGCTCCGCACGCTAATGCGATGCGGCTAAACAGACAAGCGAATAATCCACAAGATATGTGAGAAGAGAATCAAGAAGAAGCCTTGCTCCATTGCATCACTCGAGACTTACCCGCGTCGAGTCGACGCCCTCAATCAGAGCGCGTGTGCGTTCGTTGGCCTTCACCGTGACCTTGAGCACACCATCTACATAGACGTGATAACTGTCAATCAGATTGTAGCCCACCGGCTCCGGCGGCGACCAGCCAATGAGCACGCTCTTGTTAAGCTGCCGTTCCAGCGTCAAGTGCTTCGGAGCTGGAACTAGTGTTGCAGAGCAGGCAGGATGAGAAGCGAAATGAATTTGTTAGTATTTCAGTCTTTATAATTTGGCACTTTTATTGCTGCTAGCCTAGTCCAGTGCGTCTCTACAGTTAGGGTATACAAAGGTCGTTATGCTCACATTTGCCAACGCAGACGACGCATTCGAGAGGCCACAGAACCCAACCCAGACCAGACCAAACCAAAGTGATTAAATAATGGGGCACGGGGAGCAACGGGAGCGTGTATAGTTACCATTATCGCTAATGTCATCCTGGTCGTGCTCCAGATCGGTGTGCGTCTCACTCAAACGTGCCAGTTCCTCGTGCGTGTGTGTGAGCAATGGGTTGTGCGGCGGCAAGGAAGGCAGCGACGTTGTGTCGCACTGCATGGAGCCATCCTCGGCATCGCGCAAAGTGGACAACACCGCCTGATGGAACTCCAGCAAATCATCGCCTAACCAAGTCGAATAATACGCATTGAAGGAGCTATTGATGAGATTGAGTTGACCAATCGCTACTCACCCACAAGTCGCTGCACAAACGAAGCGGGCACTAAGCCGCGTCGTCCATCCAGGAGCTCAGCATCCAGATAGCCACCCTGCGGCTCGCCGCTGGTCCACACCAGCAGATAGTCGCCAGCGCAGAGGGAGAGCTCGCCCTCGGCTTCCCTGCAAGAGGAGTGGAAAGTCAAGCACCTAAAGACCTACCATGTGTTCGGCTCACTCACTCTGGCGGATCATAGGGAAAGCGCGCAATGAAGACGCAACAGCGTCCCTTGCCAGGTATGTCCAACATGTCAACCTGCGGCTCGCTGGCGCCGTTCAGCCCATGGTTTCGAGCTGAAAGCAAACGGAGCATCGGTTACGCCATTCACCAAAAAAAGAGCAGCCATCGCTATACTCACTGTCCAGTTCAAGGGCGCCCAGCGCCAGGCCGCTGCGATTGTGCATGAGGGACGCGCCCAGGCCATCGGTGAACTCGTCCAGGCCCCAGCTGCTGTGGCCCACGGGTATGGGCGAGCATGGTGAGCTGCGATTGCCATAGCGCGTCATCGGAATATCAATCTCGTCCAGCATTTTCATCTTGGTGGCCTGGCGCAGTGCAGCCGATGTGAACGGATACGAGGCGCTCGATGCAGCGTCCATAAACGGCGGACCGTACGTGCTGCCCAAGGCGCCGGCAGCACCAGCGCTCAGCCCGTAAAGAGAGGTGGCGCCCGTAATGCCGCCGCCAGCTGGTCCCAGGCCCAGGAGGGCGCTCGTGTCGAGCATGTTGATGTTGCTCATGGTGGGATGGGTCAGCGAGCTGCCGACTACGCCGCTGCCGCCGCTCAGGCCCAGGGCCGAGTAGCTGGTCGAGCCGCCAGGCGGCAGATTATGCGAGTTGAGTGACAGGAGGGGCATGGTTGTGCTCTGTAAATTGTACAGTTGTATTGTTCCGCGCTTCTCGTTTCAATTTCAATTTCAATTTCAATTTCATATTCAATTTCATAGTCAATTTCAATTTTGTGTGCGAATTTTGGTTGTTGTTTTTGGTTTTTCAATTTACATTGTTGTTTTTGTTGTGGTGGTTGTTGTTGTTGTTGTTGTTTTCGGTTAGTGTATTAGTACAGGCGGGTGTTACAAGGGTACACATACAGACAATTATTGCATAGACACACAGACAGACACACACACAGAGAGACATTGAAACACATGGATTGCGTAAGTTTCGCAAGTTTCAGCACATTGGGAAGAGAACGAATCGAAATACGAGTTATTTTACATAAAGAGAAAAAGAGAAGAAAGAGAGAGAGAAAGAGAGAGAGAGAGGAGACAAGAGAGAGCACATAAAACGGGAAAAGAGATCACAGAGTACACGTTTATTGGTCAATATATAACAGGAAGCCAGCTAGAAACAGCATTATATATTAGCTATGAGAAAGTATTTGAAAGTCTTGTGATTAACGACGCAGACGAGAGTTGATACATAGTTTATGAATATACAGTTAGTTGCTAACATATGTGAACTGAAGCCGTTTCCAAGCAATTGATATGAACAATGTTGCCCGAACAATGGATTAGTTTAATAGTCAAACATCGAAACGGAAAGCGTCGAAATGTACTATGTTGATTCGCTATAGATTTGATATTGATATTGATATTGATATATAGGTATATATAAGTTTATACAAGTCGTAACTCTTGGTATGTATATGCATGTGGCATTGAGTTTGTATACAAAATGTGCTGTGCGTGGAGAAGAATGCGAGATGCGACGGGGTTGAAATTCTAGTGAGATGGCATCAGCACTAATCATGCAAGTTTATAACGAGGATAAGGCAGGAAAAATATATATATACACTGGCAAAAGAGCTAACAATGCTTTACTTAAATTCATATAACTTTTTCATATTCTTATTGCGCCACAGCTCTCTATGCACGTTTCTGTGAAACTAGTTAGAGTTTTTTTCTGGTTTAAGAATAATATATACATATAAATATATATATATAATATATAATATATAATATATAATATATAATATATAATATATAATATATAATATATATATAAAATATATATGTACTTTATAAAGGCTGCTTCTGCTCTTAAAACTTTTTTTTCTGTCTAAAATCTCACAAATTTTACTGTACTCGTAACCAAGTTTATTAGCCAAAGATTCTAACATTTGAAGACCTAAAGATTTTAGAGGTATTCTCACTTAAATATGAACAAATTCGTGTGCACTTCAGTTGCCAGCCATTATGATACTTCAGCGTATTACTAAAACTATCCAAATGAATTTTAAAATTTTTGCGAATATATCATTGTTGTTTTCAGACCAATTTCTACAGGACCTTAATTGAGAGCCTGATTCTGGAGCCAGATACAAAATATTTCAGGCTGACTACGTTTCGGCATCTCAAAAATATTTTTTAACAACTATATAATAATAAGTTTTGATTACTAAGCCTGCATCAAGTATTGTTGGCCATAAGAAAAGGCGCATTGTTTGTGAAAGTATCTTATACTAAAGCATTTGTTATGTATAGCTGCAAGGGTATTTTGTCCAAGTTATTATATTTTTCTCTTTCCAAAACATCGGGCAAATAATCAATTAATAAATAAATATTCTATATACTATTCAGAGATATATATACTAAAGGATTAGGCAATCTGTTAAGACTGTTTTGCATGCAATTTAAATATTGAACAACATAAGAGAAATAGTTAAAAAATTCTTTAAAAATAATTAAAACAACCTTAGTAAAATTTTAAATACATTTTTTTAAATATTATTAATTACTTTAATAGAAAAAACTATTTGGATGAGTTAAGAAATACATTGAAATACCAAAAGTTGCATCTGAGTAGCTACGTCAGTATGTGAGGCTGTGTGTGTGTATGTATGTATGTATGTGGGCATGTATGTGGATATGTGAGCATGTGAGCATGTAATTATTTTCAATAATGAAACTACAACAAAGCACAAAATGTGATTTTTATTGAACGGCGAGCCACTTGGTTCAGCGGCTATGATCAACGATTAAATGAACAAACACGAAGGCTACTTTAAGCAGATGATCACCAAAAGGAGCGCCAAAGCCATGTCGCCAAGTGCCAAACAAAGGCTTCAAAGCGGATTTTGTTTTGGTTCAAAAAAAGCTAATTTAATTGCATTTTATAAAGTTTTGTTTTGTTGGGTTTCTCTTTGGTTTTTGTTGCTTGTAGTTCATTGCGATTGAAAATAGTTGGTTTACCTGACTTAATGCCGTTGGCATAGCCTTCATCGTGTGAATATTTACCGGCAATGGTGGAATGCCAGTTATTCCACTAGTTCCACTCAGCAGCTTCTCAACGGAGCTCTGGCCACCGCCGTAGGCAGCCGCGTTCATTGATTGCAGGGCATGGCTGCTCAGACTCGAGGATATGCCGCTGATTGAGTTGGGCATCAAGGCCGATATGGATGATAAGCCACCACCACCAGTACCGACGCCCGAAGCCGCCGCCGCGGCAGCAGCGGCAGCACTCTGCGAGCCAACGCTGGTGCCGCTCAGACTGGTGCTTGCTCCATTGCCCAGCGTGGACGCCAGCGATTGTGGCAGGCTCGAGTAGCCGGACGATAGAGCGGAAACGCCGCCACCCGATGCGCCGCCCAATACGGCGCGTTTATATCGATTCAGTTCTTCTTCAAGTTCTGAAAGAACACGTCAAACAAATCGCATGCAAACCATATAAAAAACTGGCTTGGAAAACTGAATTACGTGGCACCTACCACTCTTTGATATGGTTCTAAATTCGCTGTTTCCCGTATTCATCATGGAGCTGGGCGGCAAGCTCTGCAAGGCTGACATGCTGGCGCTGGCCGAGGTGCGCGGCTGTTCCAGCTCGGCCAAAACGCGATTGTCCTAGAATCGAACGGGATCAAGAAGTAAGCAAATGTGGAGATTAATATATAGTTGCCAGGCTTGCAATGTTCTCAGATTTTCTTATTCTAGATTTTGACTTGGTTTTTAAGCCATAACTAAAGCAGCACTTAAGCTGAAGGCTTAATAGTTTTTAAGTCGCGGTGAAGGTATCTCCTAGTCAGGCACTCTCGACTTGAGCATTTTTACTTATTTCAGCTACTTCTTGTGCTTTATATTAAACTGTAATATTTTTTATACCGTTTGGGATGTTACCCAAGCTTAAGGAATATATTTATATTTATGCTTTGTTTTATTTAGCAAATGTTAGAATTTTTTCAAACCTAGGCAGACTTTACGAAAAAGTGCAAATAACAGAATATATATATATATATATATATATATATTAGATTAGAATGTGCTTTATTTCAGATTTTGTTTTAAGAGCTAACTCATACAACTATGAAGCACATTTGTACTTAAAATAAAAATATAATCCAAGCTTAAATCATAAAAGATTTTCATACCAAAATTTAATATCGACTTTTTCAAAACTGCAAATTTCAGTTAAAATCTTTTCTTTCATTTAATACGCAGTCAAAACTACTCCCACTCCACACTCGAGCATAATCCTAGTAGGCCAGGTGCGAGATGCCAATTTATTGTAGGCCTGGCAGCAGCTGTGTGTGCCCTTTTCATTGTCCCTTCGGAAGCTGGCTGAAAGCTCAGTCTGCTTAAGGCAAAACCTCAAATTCGATGTAAAACATGAGCCACTTTTCGGATGCGATGACTACGCTGATCATCAAGGCACAGAAGGTGTCTTGCGACTTCAATGATTTGCTGCAGAAGACATCGTGTCTAATAGCTGATTGCCAGAGTGTGGAGAAGAAATTCGTCGAGTGCTGCGGCGTGCAGGACGATCAATTGCTGAAGAACTTGGTGAAATACTGCAATGACGAGGAGCGCATACAACAGCTGCTCGAGAACGCCGAGCTGAAGCAGACTGTGGAGGACTACAAGGAGGGCGTCAAGCAAATCATGCAGAAGTTCAGAGATCATTGCCAGCAGAGCGCACTCAACGAGAGGTTCAATCTGCGCCGCAGATACGTATCTCAGCTGCAGAAGGTGGTCGACAATCTGGAAAACCGAATCGAGGAGATGACCCTAATCATGATGTGCAGCATCAGCATGGAGGAGAACCACAGCACTGAGAATCAACGCATCATCCAACAGCTGGCCAAAGACAACGACGAGCTGCGACGCAAGCTGCAGATACACACGAGCTCCAATGGCGAGAAAGTGGATTACTTTAAGCAGGCTCTGCCGCTGCAGACAGACTCCGGCACCCAGATCGAGGTGGGCGATACCCAGGACTCGGACACGTGCAGCATAGGAAGCTTCGGCAGTTTCGAGACCTGTTTCTCGTCCGGCTATGAGTACCAGTCGACAGACAATTCAGGTCAAAGCCAATTCGAAGCAGATCAACTTTAACGGGCATCGCTTTATACATGTTACATCATATTAAGCTTTATAATAATCAGTTATTTACCTGCTCAATCTTGGCCATTATTATATCAATCTCGGAGCCTTGGTCCTGGTGGCTGATTGTCGGCGCCCATGTGACGGTGGAACTGCTTGCAGAAGTTGGTATACTCGAACATGGATATTGGCCATGTTGCCCTGCTGCGGCCGATGTTGGGGGACAGTTGGCCATATGCTGGCCGCTTGGCCGCCCTGACTTGGCCTTGAGCGCGGCAGTTAGCTCGATTTGCAGCTCCTCGCAGTGCACGTTCTCCAGCGCCACCTGGAATGCGTACAAATTGTAGCCTAAGCACTGCGAGCAACACGTACCTCCACGTACCTTCTTTTCCAGCTCACGAGCACGCGACTGTAGATTCTCCACGGCCTCGGTGTCGGGTCGAGCGCAGCCGCTTAAGTTGCGTATTTGTGCCAGAGTTTCCTGTCACAGGAACCACTCAAAATTGTAGTTGACTAGCTAAATAGACCGTGAGCTGCGGCAACTCACCTGATGCGCCCGCTCGATCTCGGTGCGGCGCATTTCCGCATCGCGCAGCTGCATGCTCAGCGCGTCCAGCATGCTATTTGGCGCTACGCCGGCGGCCACGGCAGCGGCCGCCGACTGATGATGGTGCATCGACTCGTACGGCATGCTGTGGCTGCCCTTCTGACGTCTGCGAATAAATAAAAAAAAGGGAAACAAAAAAAAGCGTTCAATCTCTTGGCTGTAAAATTCTCCGTGGGCGGCGGCAGCCAATGAAGGGTTATTGCTCAATTTGGGCTTGATTTATTTATGTGCGCGAGCTTTGGAAATGGGGCAACTGCTTTGCTGCGCTTTGTAGAACGTGCACACACACATAGCACAGGACAGGGCACATACGGCGAGCGTGCGAAGCGTGTGAACTTTGAACTTTGGGTTAATTGCCGTTGTGACCGCATTTCGTGTCTGACCCCCAAGGAACGGCACGCTCATGCAACAATATTTCCCAATACTTTGTGTTGAGTTCCTGATTCAAGACTGCACTCAGAACATTTCCTTCGCATTTCCTTCACATTTCCCTTATTACTCATACGCCATGTGGTCGTGTGAAAAGTGCGTAGTGCTAAACGTTCGCCCTTTTAATCGTCGCACACCTGCGCTGCAATCTAGCGCTGTGATTTCACTGTCTGCCATTGCAAACACACGCCCACACACACACATACACAGCCAATATAAACAGTCATGCACAGTTATTCACACTCACGTACAGTCAATTGTATTACTCATACGCCTTGTTAGACGCGTGTCGGTATAGAAACAACTGTAACATGAGAAGCAGCTACGAAATATGAAAGTTGACCGACACTCACATACCTCGTAGTAGCAAGTGTGCTAATAAACTCAACTATGTATATATATTTATATTATAATTGAACAGCACATTGTGTTCTATATAGAGTTAAGTTGATTGAAGCAAAGTTTAATCTTATCTGAAAAATATTTATATATATATATATATATTTGTATATTAATAAAACTTGCGCTTTTCAAACTTCATCAATTTATAAATAAGCTGCTCAAACAGCAAAATTACTGTTTACACAGAGTTTTCATTGTTCGAAAGTTTGAAAGTTTCCTGCCAAGGATAATCGACTACTTTTTTAGCCCTTTGTAGAGGGTATTCAACACGCGCCAGTTTGTCTAGACAGCAGCAAGACGCTGCAGCTGCCACAGAGCAAGAGTTACAAGCTGCAAATTTATACACACACACAAACTGTAAGTTGCTGCATTAGCTGCGAATTGCGTGACTCTAGCAGTGGCTTTCCGTGTTATATTGGAATTCAAATCGAATAATAAATCGCGAAGGAAATTCAATTTGCATCACTTTACGTTCTATGATATGGTCAGGGAATATTTCTATTCTGGATACAGAATGCTGCGATGATTTTAATACACACCCACCCACACAAATACACACGCATACACACGCATTCAAGGCAGGCATCCAGGCAGTCAGGCAGGCAGGCAAAAGACATGCATACAGCTGCATTCTACTGTCGATGGCGATGTTTGCTGTATTTATACCCCGCCCGTTTCCCCTTGACATTTAAATGACAAGGTTTATCCCGTTGCTGCCTCGCCCATCTGTGGGCGTACATGACAGCATCCAGCAGGTGGGCTTTGACATTTACTTCACGTCCTTCCGGTGCTGCCAGCAACAGCGCTCGGTTACGTTGATTGCATATTTTCTGCAGAATTTCGTTAGCGCTTGCTTCCTCGCTGCCCAGTTGATATCTATACTGAAAACTGAATGATGAATATCTATGCTGGAGTACTTACAACGACTTGTTAATCATGTTAAATCATCATTTACGATGTGTAAAAAGGTAAACTGCGTCTATTTATAGTAAACGTAGCACTTTTTTCACTTCACTTTTGCATGAATGCGCGTTGTGTGTGTGTGTGTGTGTATGTGTGTGTTTGTATGTGAGCGTTCCTGATGCCGTTATAATTGCGTTACGTGTGTGCAGCACAACGGAGCGCAATCAAATGCGAAGCGCAACAGCAGCAAAGTCTCATTACGGCCACTAGTTGCTATTGTGCACAGAGCTACGACAGTCTCTTCCCCAGCTCCTGTGTAACAGTGTATGTGTACATGTGTGTTTGTAAGTGTATGTACAACTGCAAAAGCAGCAACACCAACAACAGCAACAATGTCGTTTATTGCTTTAGCTTAACTGCAAAAGTATGCACAGCAATTTGAGTGTGCGAACAAGATGGCAGCATTGTCTGTGTGTTGATGATGAGAGCCAGAGAATTTTGGTCATTGAGTAATGAGCTGCCCAGCTATGACTAGAGAAAGAGCGAGAGAGAAAGAGAGAGAGAGAGAGAGGGCAAGAGAGAGCGTGTGTGATGCGTGTGAGTAAATATCCCAGCGAAAGATTGCAGTTAGCCAACACTGGCGCATGCGCCATGCTGTTATGTTAACAGACTCGCGTACTGTTAAACGGCTAACAGCGCTGTTCGTCCTTAAGTCTGTGGGCTTCAAAATTTTTTAATTATGATTATGAAGTGGGCGTTAAGTAGCTCTTACTCTGTGTGTTTGTGTGTGTGTAAGAATGTGTGAGTTTTCTTTACTTTGCACTTGTTATTTCATCATTTTCTTCATGGCTAAAAGTGGGTAGCATGTGGTTTCACATATCACCGAGCTTTGCCAAATACCAATATGATTTTTGACTACTAAATCAGTTGGATCTTTAAGCTTAATAATTCAGTTCAATAATTATGCATTTAGTAAACACAAAAACTGTATAGCAACAGTTAATATCAAAAGACACAGCAGCAACATCAGCTGCTGGGAACTGTTTTAAACATGGATTAGCCAAACGACCCGCACACAAGGCAAACTGTTCGCTCTCCTCTCCTCGTTAATGGATGGCCCACATGCCAGACCCCATACCCAATCCCATTTGAATGTAGGTTGCACGCTGATGCTGATGCTTTACACTCTATTAACCCAATTTTTTTTGGCAATTGCCATCGGAGTAAATTAAATGGAAAATTCGCATGGATTTTAATTCCGATTCAAGCGATTTGATCGATGTTTGCGACAAACACCGAATTCTCGACATTGGCCAATTAAAAGTGTAAATTGCAGAGTCATTAAACTTTAAAATGTTTGCCAAACTCGAAAGTAATTTACAAACTTTTCATGCACACTGAATAATAAAGTTAAATGATAAAAAAACAAAGCAGAATTGAGGTCACAAACTTAAAAGTTGCATCGTGCCACAGAAGTTTGCTGAGAGCAATGTACAGACAGCATTTGGTTTGAATTACTTGCTCAAACACAAATAAATGGAAGAGGAGGACACAACTTTGGAAAGTTCTATATCTACATTGCATTGCATACCTTTTGGAGTCTATTAACGGAAATGCAAGAGCGAATAGCATACAAAAAGATGACTTACTTCAAATTTGTTTAAACATTTGCCAGAGTCTTATATATCAATTATAATTTAGTAAATTTCCTAAAAATTAAATTTTGATTATTATATTTACTTAAAGGATAAATAAACATTTTATTAAGTCCAATTATATCAAACTCCATGCGCTCAATTTCAGTTATTTACTCAGCAATCAAAATATTCAAAGAACTTTAATAGAGCTATTTAATAGAGACCGCCTTAAAGTCAAAACAATTTACATTTGAAATTTGATAAAGTTCACTATCCTGCTGACAGTTTGACCTCAATAGCAACACACAAAAAAGTGGAAGAGCAACCGAAACAGCACAAAAACTATCTTGCCTATTTATAACTACACTCATACACACACTGACACACTCACACACATAGAGCGAGTGAAGCTCATGCGGGTCACACACACACACACACACTCACACAAAATGTAGCATAGTTTTTTGGGCAACATTTGTGGAATGTGTAAAATCGGATCTCTTTCTGGTAGCCGTAGCCCCATTCCCATTTTTTGGCAAATCGACCATTGAATGATAGCCACATGTCAAAATTGAGCATGCTGCTCAATAAATTTCCACACACAGAAGCAAAGAAGATAAAATACCTTTTCATATATTGACTTTTTTGGGCAACGCGTGACATTAGATCGTTGCATTGGCGAAGCAAAGACACGAATCATAAATCTACATATTTAAGCAGAGCATAATAAGTACAACAACAATGCTATTAAAATAAACGAAAAAACAAATTGCGAATAAAGCCAAAAATAGTTGTTACAGCGTTTAGGCGCAGTCGACAGCGCTGTTATTATCTCTCCTGTTACTGTTTACACACACACACATACATACAGACGCACACATTGTTAGCTAACTGCGAGTGACACAAGACAACCGCATGGCAAACACCTGCCCCCAACTGCCGTCGCAGCTCTTGTTCTCGCACTCTTTTACTGCTGCTATATATATACATGTGTATGGGTGCGTGAGTGTGTATATGTGTACATATCTGTTTGGGCCATTCTGTTACGCACGCAGAGGAGCAAACAACTTTTACGCCTCCCACATGGCCCAACTGTTGTCGTTGTCGTTGTTGTTGTTGCTGCTGCTGCTGCTGCGCGCCAAGTGTCAAAACCGCCCCCAAAAGCAAAATGTGGCACTTTTCATTTATCTTTTGCCGCTGCTGCTATCATGCCTACTGCGGCTGCGGCTGTTACTGCTACATTAATATATATATATATATATATATATATATATATATATATGTATATTTATATATATATATATCTATTACACTAACACACACATACGCCCAGTTATATGAGCCGCAAACTGCTGCTCTGCTCCACTTCTACTGGCCATTCCAAGTTTTCTAAGTGTGTGCGACTTGTGCGCGCGCGCCTTTTTGCCCAAATGCAGTTTGTTTGCCAATTTCGGAACACTTTATTAATGCACTTTACCATAAGCAACAGTAGAACACTCAGCACATGCATGCGCACATATTTATGTACATTTGTATTCAGTTTTCATTCAATATTCCGTTTGCATTGTCACAACTTCTGCATTTGTATTGTTGTTCGTATTGCCTTGTGTGCGAGTGTATGTGTGTACTCGTCCATGTGAGCACGTAAGCATGTGTGTGTGGGTGTAATTTTACGTTAGCTTGCTTGCTTTTTTTTTATCGTTTCATCGATATGCCAGTGCCGAAGTCTCAGTGGCAATCGCTAAAACTTTTACTTTTCACAACACCCTTTTTGCCATTTTACGTTTTATCATTAATGCACTTTTAAGCACTGGAGTTTAAATTTGTAATATATAATATTTTATTGAAATATGTTTTTGGCACTCGCGACATGATAGACTGATTTTTAATTTGTTTGCTGTTAATTATAATTCGTTTGCAAAATCTTCTCAATTTCATTGAAACAATGCAAACATTTCACGTTACACATGCCCCGAACAGCAGTGGGGCGAGTTCGACGGCTGCTGCTGCTGAGAAAACATTTTCCCATTTGGTGTACAGCGAAATTTTTCGTGTGCCCGTTCGCTCGCAGGCCAGGCCAGGCCACAGTGCCTTCACACACAGCCTTCGTTTTTCAGTACTCGTCCTGAATATCTGGACTCATTTGACCAACTTTTTGTTTTCAACTATAAAACTGCATTGGATTCTTGTATCCTTTAAAGTCTTACTGAACATTTAGATAAACGATAAGTTGAACATTTAGCGAACCTTTTTGCTACTGCTTCTTGAATGGTGCTGGGACTGCTGATTTTTCAGGTCGCCTAATTCCACTTCCACGTTAGCGTTGGAGAATTTACATAAATGCATAGAGTTTACACTAGTTAACGGATTTTAGTTTTACATAATATACAACGCGATTTTAACTAAATGCTAGGTGTTTAGAAAAAAATTGCAACTTTATTTTGTATAGCAGTTGGATTTGAATGCGAAAACCGAAAAGTGGGTCATCTCGGTCGCGCTGCTCGGCTGGTTTGTACTCTGATTTCTATCCAACTGGCTGCCCAGAATGGCCCAGTGTGAAAACGAATCGATTTTTCTGTCAAATGACACTGAAAATTGGGAAATTTTCTCTCAGCTTAGCATGACCACTCTCTCTCCCGCTCACTCTGTTGGGGTTGCAAATGTTAACTACGCTGTAACTGTTAACGTTACAGATGAGCTCCACTGTTAAGAATAAGGATGTGCAATTTTTTGAATATAAATACATTTATTTGTCGTTTGTTTTCCTATTTCTACAATATGAGTTTTGTGTCTCTTTTCTTTTGTTTGTAATTATTTTCATATAACATTTATTAAAAATAAAATAATTTTTTCGATCTTCGATTTCTAGCGATCTTTCTGCTACTGTCTTTAGGTTTTCTTTCAAATTGAACATATCATTAAGTAAGTGTATTGTTTATATTTATAGTTTTAAATTTCAAACTCCAACAATTAAAAACAGTTAAAAATTCCATAGTTTTTAATTTGTTTTTTTTTTCATAGTTTATTCCTGTTTCTCATTTTCTTTTTTTTTGTTTTTGACTTTCACTAACATTAAATTTAAGTTTATTTTTATTTATTTTCGCGTTTCCTAAATTAAAACAAAATATCTTCTTTTTTGCTGGCATTAACAGAAAACGAATGAATTATTTACAACAAATTGTAAACAAAACAAAAATAGAGGCGCTCGCACAATTGACTAAATACAAAAGAATAAAGTTCAAATTCGAATTTGCTAAGGCTTTAGCTTCTCATGTTGTTGTTCGTGTTGTTTGCTTTTGTATTGGAATTTAGTTTTCATTACAATAATTTAAATACATTAGACCTATTATTACTTTGTTTTAGTTACAGCAGGCTTTAGTTACGGATCTTTAATATGCGTCTATGGATTCTTATTGCAAATTGTGTTCCTTGCTTCTGTTTGTTGTTTGTTTGTGTTTCTTTGTATCTTATTAGTTTGTTGTGTGTTTTGTTTAATAGTTAGTTAAACATAAAATTAAAATGCCACTAAGTTTTGCATTAATTAAAACATTTAATTTTCTACTCGCATTTACTCTTAACTGTCAGCATAATTTGATTCGTTTGCCTTATTAAAAAAAGTGCACTTATGAATACTGCATTCGGCCTGAAAATAGAAATGGACAAGAAATAAGATTAAAATTCCATTATCAGCGTATAGAAATAGAAATAAATTAGAAATTACAAATTAACTTAATTATTTAATTAGGTACATTCGTTCCATCATTGTTCTTAAAGACCTCAGTGATTAATAACTAAGTAACTTGTGTTCAATTTCGAAACAGAGCATATATGCGCACAATCTGAAGCGAACTTCTATACTGATAAAAGTGATATAGATAAACGTGTTTGCAACGCCAATAGGATGACATCACGGTCAGCACAGTTAGATAAGGAACCAGATATCAGAACGATTAAGGTATTTGGCTGATAGCGAGTCGCATACCATTCTGGTGTTTAGACACGGATCCAACATAATTTAACATTTAAGAATGGGCCAACTTACTGTCCTTCTTTGAAGTATTCCTTCAGCGTTGTGCTGAACTTCTTTGAATATTTGACGAACTCTTTCTTACGCTGCTCGACAGCCTGCTTGCCAGTGACGCCTGGTATGAACGAACCAATTTCGTTGACCACATCGAGCAGCTTCTTTATGGCGCTCGCGATTTCCCTACAAAAAAGAAAAACAAAGCTAGTGTAAACTTTTATCTAATACATATGTGAGAGAATACTCACTTGATAGTCTCAAGAAAGGTCTTGCGATCGTTGATCTCGTCTGGTATGCGACTGAGTATCACTTTCAGTGCCACTGATTTGCGATTCAGCTCCTGGAACGGCTCCTCGGTGCGTGTCAAGCGATATTCATTAACTGCGCCACATATTGGGACAAAGAAAAACAACAAAATGCATTAACACAAATGAAAACAATCGTATATCCACACACTCACACACACACGCAGTCACATACAGACGTGTGCAGGTGTTAGTACTTACGATCTGCCTCGGTAATGTTGCCCTGCAAACGCAAGACGGCCTCATTTAGGTTGACATTTAGATCGGCGCGTCTCACGATCGACGCAACGAGGTCATAACAGAAGCCCGGATTGTTCTGCTCCGATTTTAGTATGGCCGACCGCAGAGACTGTGCCGCGACAACGTCGCGTCGCTCGAGCTGGAAACAATTTACGTTTACGCAACATTGCATTTAAACTGGGACAGCCAACGCCCGCCTCGTTTGCACACATGGAGTCTCGGTCTATGTGAACTATCTTACCTGTGTGAAAATGGGCCTCAGTATAACGGGCAGAACGAGAGACGAAGTTGGCTCACGCTCGCCCATGGTCATTTTTTAACACGTTTCGATTGAGCGCGCACAGATTTTCTATTGGTTTAAGCCGTTTATAGAAACAGGCACATTCTGGACTCAGACCGCAAGTGTTTTGCTCTCTTTGCACGCGTAGGCACAATCTGTATAAATTAAATTAAAAAATTAACAATAATTCACAACAAAATGGTCACAGTGTTGCCAACACTGCAAGACATATAGTGTTGTTGACGCAGTATCGAGTGACTAATGTATCGATATCACTGTGAGCAATGTCAAAAACAGCTGAGTTCGCAGCCAACATAACGCAACTCCAATGTGCGTTTGCTGCCAAAACTAACTGAAACAGACGCTGTCAGCTGTTTTCTAGTGTTGACTAACGAAGAATTCAAAGTGAAAAGTCACACAGTTAAGTAAAATAATTAAAAAATAAAATTGTTATTGCTAATGCAGCGATGTCCTTTAGATAATAAATCAAATAAGACTGCTCCGATATTGGAGTAATATTTGTGTGTGTACATGTTTGTGTGTGTATTTTGTGCCTCGCTGTCGTATTTTTTATGCAACTCACTTAAAAAAAGTTGAAGTGTGAGGCTGCCTGCGTGCCATTTTCATAGCCCAAGCCCCGAACACTTCCAACCAAGCAAGATTAGTGCATTTGCTGAACGTGATGACGTCCACTAGCAATCTGGCAGATGTTGTTCGCCACTACCAACGCAGCATTGAACGCCATGGCGAGGATGAGACACGCGTAAGTTATTCCCAGTTTAATCTATATGCAATATGCGGGGGCTCTCACCCTAAAAAAAACCAAATTTCAAGAATTGGCGAAAAAAAACCTTCACTGCCAATTGCATATTGTGTGTGAATTATAGTATTGAATATGTTTGTAGTTTTTGAATACGATCATATTAAAAGGCACGTGTTTAAAATCGTGCAATAAAATATTCACATTAAGATTTAAAGGGAGTTTAGTCAAATATAGATCGCTTCATAAATTATTTTATAATGCGGATTTTCTCTGCAATCTTAGCGGCTTATAAATTGTTAGACTTCTGAATATTTTGTAAATAAAAAGCTGATGTATGAACTGGTTCTGTTACCATGTCTACCTCTCATAGCTTCTGTCTATTTCTTCTTCGCTCTATCTTAGTTTTCTTTCCTCACTTCATGTTGTCTATATTGCTCGCCTACTTTTAGTTTCTTTCTGTTTATCGTTGAAACCCTTAATCTAATTCAATCGTTAATTTAACAAATCCCTTCTATGTGATTTTCAAAAATGCTGTAGAGGAACAATCATTATTACAGTCACATTACTATTATATTAATATATTTTACATGGGAAATATGGTTCATACAACATGTTTGATCAATATTAATGATCCTAAAGTTAGAGAAGATTTTTGAATATACGTTCTGCTTTCGATGTGTGTGTATTTCAGTAAATAAACATGTTTTTAAGGGTGATTCAGACATTGGGTGCAGAGTATGTTGATTAACAGGCAACGAAAACAAGTTTTACATACCCCTAGTCAACCTCGAGATGCATTATCAAATATATGAACAGTCTTACTTGTACAAATCTTTACCCATTGTAACATTTGTATGAGAATAACATATGTAGCATTTGTTACTAATCAGCCCTTACAAGAAGAGCCTCTAATTAATCCATTTGCTTTGCTTTATCCGTTACCTGCGCCCGCAGTTGTTGCACTGCATCACAAAGCTGTTTAACCTGCCCATCACATTCGAGCATCTACAGGAGACGGGCATTGGCAAAACGGTAAATGCGCTGAGAAAGATCAACGGAGAGGTCGGCGTTGCTGCAAAAACACTAGTCACAAAATGGAAGGCTATGGTCGCTGCTGAAGAGGAACCCGCTGTTAATACGCATAGCAATGAAGAGGAGTCCCACAGATCGAATGGTCAACGGTCCAGCGAAGAGGACCAAGATCAAGAGAACAAAGGCAGCAACTCCTCTAGCGGAGAAGACAGCCGTCATAGGCACAAGTCCAAACACGAAGAACGTTCCAAGGATAGTGAGCATAAGAGCAAGTCGAGCAGCGGTAGCAACAGTAAAAGTCACTCAAAAAGCCGATCCGACAGCGACAAGAAACACAAAACCAGCAGCCATGACAAGTCGAAGCCGAAGGATAGCAGCAGTGACAGACATCGGAAGGAGCAAAAAGTCAGTAGCAGCAACGCCAGCGAACACCGCAAACCAAAGGAGTCCCTAACGAAGGCCAGCAGCAACCACCACAAGAGTAGCAGCGAGGGAAACACTCATAGTGGTAGCGGCCACCACAACAACAGTAGCAGTAGCAGCAGCAGTAAGCATCACCGACATCAAAGCAGCAACAAAAGCGAGCACAGCAAGTCCAGACATGAGAAGAGCAAAGAGGTGAGCAAACCTAAAATGTCTTACAAAAGATTACATACTAAAGGTTCCCAATTTTCTGAGCAGAGCAAATCGCAAAACAGTGAGCAAAAAGTTTCCAAAGAGAAATCGGAAAAACACAAGTCAACCAAGTCATCTAAGCGATCACGCAGTCCACATGGGACACAAGACGATGATTCACCCAAGGCTAAAGTATCAAAAACAAAGCCCACGGCTGATGCAGCTGAGCCCAAGGACACTGCTAATGAGTTTGACTCCAGCATGGGCGCCAATTTTGATGATGTACTTGGTATGCTCAATATGCCAATGAGTGGCAAAAAAATGAGTGGCAAGCTCAAGTCACCACACAAACCCGCAACCTCAACAGCAATAGCAACTTCATCAACTTTAACCAAACGAACAACAACAGCAACTTCAACAACAACAACTTCCAGAAACAGGATGACTAGTACAAAGGTAGAAGCATATTGTGAAAATATTCATATGATTTATTTATTAAGGTTTTCGTTTGTTTTATTACTTTTCAGAAACCTGAGCTGTTGGCATCCACGGCAAAACTAGAGCCTCTCGATCCGAGCATAGCTTTGGAACTGCCCACTATATCTAATAATTATAAGCCCATGCCACTGAATCAAACCGTCATGGATGTCGTATTCAATCAAGGTCTCGGTGGCTCTGCTCCCAGGCCCCCTCGCAATTTCAATGAGTCTGAAGCGCTAGCAGCTGGCATATCATCCAAGACAATGCGGTTAGTTAGTTGTCTATGACAAGTAGTTATCCACAATACAAAATTTTTTTTGGCAGCACCAAGATCTACTCAGGCGTTAGGACTGGTCAGATACTGCAAGTGCCGTCGCTCTTTGATCTTTGCACACGTGTGCTCCAAAAGAATATTGATGGTAGGGATATAATTCTTTAAATTTCGCTCTAATAGTCATCTAATTAATTTACTTTTCATATGGATCACATAGCCTTGGAATACACGGGTGGTGTGCCCTTTGATGTACTGCGTGCAGTTCTGGAACGCGCTACTCCACATCAACTATTGAACGTTGAAGAGTACAATCCTTATCTGATGGAGGACAGCGATGTCCTCTGGCAGAAGCATGTACAGCGGCATTGTCGTAGTCAACGCAGGGAGGAAATGGAAACGTGGCGCGAAATGTTTTTGGTAAATTTAATTGTTAGCAATGGTTGCAAGGAATTTGACTTGATTATTGCACATTTATAGCGCTGTGAGGAGGAAAAGGAGCGCAAATTAAGCACTATTGCCGAGAGTATAAAAGCTTCACAGAAAATCAGTGAGGCGCCGGTGCGTAAGACCCAATTGGCATTTGTTGACTCAATGGTAAAACCGCCGCGCAGTGTACAGCGCAAGCAGGAACAATATGGCACTAAAGGCAAGCTCATAGCTACTCCAGCGGCACGTGTGGCCGCTCTATCCAGTGTCACGCCCAACGCGGCCAAGGTGGGCGATGCTAGACTTCGTGTGCTTGGCGCAGCGCGTGATTCAGCGCAAGTCGGTAAGTCACATCCTAATGAATTGCGCTATCAATATATGCTTACAATCATTTGTTCGAACCACAGCTGCGGCTCCCATGCGTAATAAGAAGGCACCGTTGATGGCAAAGGCGTTGCAGTTGATACGAGGACGTCACAAACGCTAAGTCAACAAACAGCGTATTCAAACTATACTCATTTGTTATGAATAACACCCAACATTGATTAGATCACAGTTAGGATTATTAAAGACATTAAATTCCACAAATTGTAGGATTATTAGTCTATCAATAGATTCCACTGTGAGAAGAACTACGCGCACTGCATACCAATTTATTTGTTCATGTTCTGCGCCCTTATTTATAGAATTATATATATATAAATATATATTAATAGAGTTTAAGTTTTTAAAGTCGAATAGTTTAGCGTTTTGTTAAAACATATTTCATCCCAACTACTGCTCATTCAAATATATTTTGTTCACCATGGATTCATTGCAGAATGTGCGTAAATGTAAAATAATTGATTGTAAAATCACAAATCGATATCACTTAAGCTAAATATGTTTTGTTCCAATGGGCTGTGCGAGTGTCCAAAATCATTGTAAGTACGTAATACATACATATATTATATATAAGCCAGTTGCGCAGCTGTAATAACAGTAATAATAATATAATATATATAATAATGTTTCAGTTGATAATTAATGAATACAGTTCCAAACATTTTACTCCATTTATTAGATTAATTAAATGAAACACTGAGCTGCTATAAGTATATTTATGTTCTGTACAATAGACATAGCCCAACAGCTGGCAGATCCATAAAAACAATTGCATGATTATGTATGTATACTTTGTAATATACGAGTATATACAGTGTTCTGGCATTCAGAAACATCACGAATTATTTAATTTTCATTTTGTAGTATACGAAGGTATGCTGCTAGTTTAAAAATTGTTAAAATAGCAAGAAAACACACATTGTTCCACTTGATAGCAACAGTAATACTTATTATACAGACTTATTACAAATAAATTATTTTAAAAACAAGAACTATCATTAATTACGGTGACATCCTTTAAGTGCCTATGCAATATAGCGTTTTACTGCGTCCATAAAATACATCAACCAGACGCTGGCAGGAACTATTTAGAGTTAAGAGACGATTCGTTGTAGCTGATGATGACGTTGATGATGAGTAGTTGCTGCCGCTGCTACTGCTGCTCTCGCTAATAATAATAAATAAAATAAATAGTATTCAGGTTTATTTAAAAATATTGAGATGTATTAACTCACTTCATGGGCGCTAGCTTTTTAACGTCCCACAGTCTTAGGCTGCCATCGATGCAGGCAGTAACCAGTTGCTGATTGTGTGCACCCCATGCGAGGGAACTAACACTAGTCGGATGATCCTTTAGCTCACTCAGTTGAGCGCCCGCAGCAAGGTCAAAAATACGAACCTTCGACTCATCTCCGGCAACAGCTAGCATTTTGCCGTCGTTACTAAAAGCCAGACTAGTGACCGCCTGGCGACAGTCAGCAAAGACGCGCATTAGTTTGCCGCTGGTCGCGCACCACAGACGCACTGAATGATCCGCAGAGCCAGTGGCTAAGTAATTGCCATTCGGATGAAAGGCAATGCACTGTGAGAAGAGGAACAGAGTTATTGTTTCCTCAATATATAAACATATCAATAGATTTTAGCTAACCTCAACGTCTTGCGTGTGGCCAGCGTATATGATCAGCGCATGTTCGCGCTCCAGGGACCACAATCGTGCGCTCAAATCCTTGGAGCCAGTGACTACATACTGTCCAACAGGACTCTCATCCACACACCAGATGGGATAGTTGTGACTGCGGTAAATGGCTGCACATTGAAAGTTATGCGCCCGCCAGCAACGCAACGTGCAGTCCTTGGAAACACTATAGAAGAGTGGATAATGCGATGAGAAACGGACATTGGTAACCCCTTTGGTGTGTCCTCGTATTTGCACTCCACCATACTCGTTGCTAAAGTCGAGAAAACCATTCATTATTGAGTGTTCCAAAAACTATCTGTTGAATACTTACAAAGAGTTATCCGGATATTTGTTGCGTAGGGCCTTGTGGCGTTCGCGACGCTCCTCTGCAGTGCATGGCCATGATTCCTCATCGCTGTCCAGTTCCTGCTGCTCATCGTCTGTGCAATTGTTGAGCTCCCAAGGGCAATTTGAGTGTGGAGAGCGTCTGTAAAAGCTCTTACCTTTACAACTATGCTGGTTCAGTTGCCACAGTTGAACAGAGGAGTTATCAAAGCCTGCCAGCATGTGGCATTCGTTGTTGTCCAGATGGGCCGAAGTCAAACCACGCGACCTTTCGCAAATCCTATAAAAACATGGCAGATCGACTTGAGCTTTTAGTATTTGCGATGTTGAAAATTTCATTGAATCGAGACAGGCATCAATGTTGACTTTCTGTTTATCAACGGCCGGAATCGGGTCTGACTCAGTATTCCCACATTCTGCTTTAATTTCAAACTCGAGTTTGACGGTTGCCTCCTCGGCAGGACGCTTCTTAATAGTACTCTTGTCGCTGGATTTGCTGGATTTGTGCTCGTTTCGGGTGATGTGTGTTATACTAGGTGTTGATGTTATGTCATCGGTATCCAATCCGTCTATCACATCAAGCTCTTCGGTTATTCCCAATAGGTGATCCTCAGTAAAGACACGCTGATCATTGTCCACAATATGAATGTGCAGCCAGGTATAGATCAGGTTCAGAATCAGCACATGGCCGCGTCGTTGCAAATAAGTGCCAATTTTGTCAACCACCTGGGCCGTTGTATGCAATTCGTATTTGGATGCGCGGAAGTGCGCTACGGTTGGGTCGGACTCAGCAGTTTCCAGCTTTGTGCAGCCCGATAATATTTGTACTAATTTCATAAAGTGATCAAGTTCCATGTCGCCAGTATTTTGCGCCTCGCTAGCAAAACGGATGTGACAGTCGTTGGCTCCCGATAATTGCGACTCGCTCGTCACCGAGCAGCCATTTATCTTGGTGGGCAGTGGTGCATCATACAGATCGACCGGTGCTACAAGATGCGCATATTTTTTCAGCAGTTCGACGGCGCTCTTTGATTCGCGCGCTTTTAATAGCTCAAGGTACAAATGGCAGAGCATCGGTGCATAGAAGCGTTTCATTTCTAAACGCAATGGTTCCGGTTGTGCTTCAACAAACTGGGAGAAACGTCCAAATTGCTGGTCAACCATATGTTGATTGTTTGTTATGACTTGGACATTCGAGTAGGTGAAACTATTGCCACCATGGAGATCAGTGTCCAGCATTTTATTTACTGCAAATTGACTTTTGTTTTGCATTAAAAGGAAATCTGATTTGCGAAACTTCTCGTTGCCCTTTAAATAATTCCAAAATGCATTATGACAATAATTAACTGAGCTAAAATCGAGTTTACTTACAACATAATTCTTTTGCTTCAGCAACAAACCAACTGCGGCCCGCATTAAATCGCTTTTTGAACTTTTCTTTATGACTGACTTATTGCTGTATATGGGCGATGAAGCATGATTGTTGTTGTTCGCATTCGGCAAACTCATATTTCCGCTCGTGGTCCTTAAACGAATCCTAATCCCTTCCTGCAACTTGCTGAAGCATCCGTGCTGTGTATATGTGCAGTACTGTGCAGTGTCAAAATATTCGCTAGTGTTGCATACGATAGCCGCTAAAATCATCGATACATTTTACCATTGCATCGATACTAATTTAACAGCTGTTCGAAAAGTGATAGTACTTTTCTTGTTGTGTTGTCGTTCAGTAGTTCGCGCGGTTGTTTCTACTGCGTTTTCTTTTTATTATTTTTGTACATTAACTAAGATCAAAGATCTAAAACTTGAGATAATTAATAGTTGATATAATTAGAAGTATAATTATATTTTTTTATTAATATGGGCAGTACAACGAAGTTTGTTGCCGAATTCTGTGATATTATAGATTCCTATGGGGGTCGGGATAAGGTGAGTAATAGTTGATCAATTAGCAAGATCCATACAAAATATGAACACAACTTTGAAAATTTCGGCTTGTTTGTTATCTTAAAAATGCAGCGTGGCAGTCGACGTGTGGGTCTTGATCTACCGCACCAACAGGTTTTTGACACCTTGACCAATGTCGGAAGTGTCATGATTGAACCTTGCCTTACTTCTTGTTGCGATTCTGCAAATACCTAAGATTTAATCAGTTATATATATACCAGTCGACGCAGAAGTCAAGATAATAATGCTGCAGATTACAGCACATAGAACATTTACCCGGCAAGAAATCAAAAAGATTATTGGCTATGAGCGAAAGGTAAACCAGTCAGCAAGTGGCTAAGGCAACAAGCGAAGTCCCAAACGAATATACCCCATGAAATATTCATTCAATGGCTATTGATTGCTTTATGGCGCAATGTCAACATCGTTAGCCAAGACAAACGCCTTTTAACATTAATTAAATATTAAGCCAACCTATAACGGAAATTGGAGTAAAAGTAATAGCCAAAAACCACTTGAGCAAAGACACAGTTATTGAGATGTTTGTGGCATTCGTTGTGTTCTTTTTGTCGCTGATAATTTTTTATCTCTTTATAAGCGAAAAGCAATTTCAGAAAGTGCTGTAATGGGAGAGAAATAAAGGAAGGACACGTAAGACTGTTACAATACTTGTTCACATTATAAAAATATATTTTAAAAAAAATCAATGGAGTACTAAATCAATAGTATTCCGAGCTCTATAGCTCCACGCCCGAGTATTAAAAATTTTTTTAATTTGTTATTTAATTCAAATTAAATAAAATAAAAGTTAAAAATTGTGATTCCCGATTTGTTATGCCCCCCGTGGGGAATTCCAAAGATCTTAAAAGTTCCGAAGACAAGATGTGACACGATATATATATTCCAAATTTCAAGGCGTTAGCTACAAAACAGACAGACAGACAAACAACTAGTCGGACACTACACAAAACGAATATACTCTTCTCATTTCGCAAACGAGCATAATAAATAAATAGCAAGTTTAAGTAAATAAACGCACGCGCAACTTTAATATTGACAAAGAAATAAAAACAAAAAAATAAAAATATGTATATATATATATATATATATATATATATATATATAATATGTTCCCAATTTATATCTGGTTCTTCTGTTTATCAGGTGATGAAAGCGCTTTGCTACAGCGCCAAGCTCGTAGCTGGCTATCATCTGAAGCGCAATCCGGAGTTGGCTAAGCGTTACGCGACTGCCAGCTCGAAGATATCTGGCGCTAGAGCTACGCTACGTCTTATCGACGATATACCAATGATACAATATGCACTGGAGTATGGCTTGGGAGAAAATGAACCGGATCGCATTATGGCAATTCTTGGCGTGACGGCAAATATTGTCGACCTGCTATATTATCCAATTGAGAAAATCTGCTGGCTGTCTGAGCATAAGATATTGAATGTAAAGCATGCTGACAATTGGGATAATGCCAATTCAGTATTCTGGGTGCTTTCGGTTTATTTGAACCTAATGCGGTTAGTTGTTGTTGAAATCGAATATTTTCTAAGCATTCTATATGAAAGACTTCTTAATTTCAGGACTCTTCGCAACTTTTGGCTGAATCAGGAAAAACTAAATCGTAGTCATCAGCTATGCAAGTGAGTTGAGCTAACTGAACCCATTCACTCTCTAGCCATTCACATCCAAATCTTCTTTCTATTGTAGTCCCACGAGCATTGATGCCAAGTCGCTGGCCAAACATCGCTTGGAATTGATGTCGATTGCACGCATTTCACTGGATTTTGTGCATGCCGTTAGCACCTTGCCAAAGGGCTATTTGTGGGGTGGCAAACTGTCCACCTTTCAGGTGGGCAGCATTGGCACACTGTCTGCCTGTTTGGGCATCTATCAAATCTTTGCCAAGCGAAGACTTAACAAATAATACTCGGCATATCAGTGCCGCTAATGGTTGATCAGCATTTGCAGAACTAGTCGTTAAGATAAATTGTAAACATGCAACAATTTTGTGAAACAGATGGTATAGTTGTTAAATATGTAAGCACAAATATATAAATTATTAACTAGAAAGTATAAGATGCTTGTATGTTTTGGTCTGTGTGTCCTTTATTATCTATTCCATCTTCATGTTCATGTTGATATACATTTACACTTTTTAGTTTGCATACTCAGCAATAGGTTTACCTATGTTACAGGCCTTTATATATTGTCGTCTCTTTGAGGGTATATCATGTTTTACAATGCTTTCGGCTTTAGATTACTATTTGTCAGTTTAGTTAGCAGTCGTGATTATTGTTTACATTAAGTATGCTTTTTTGATTTGCAATTTAAGGATCGTTTCACACATCTCTTTGTTCAGTATAGTTCATGGAAGTGTCTTCCTCTGCGTGTGCGTGTGTGTGAGTTATGTTCTTGTTCATTATTATTGTTATTCATCGTATATATATAGAGATATATACTGTTTTACACAAAGTAAATTTGGTTGCTGTTCAAGCATGTAAATACAGATTAACAATTATTTAAATAATTGGGATTTTTCTTGTTACTTTGCTGCCTCCTCTTTAAGCTCTTTAATAAGTATTTATGAATTCATTTATATACACATATATATATATTTATATATGCATTTAGATAAAATTTAATTTAATCTTGCTTTTCGTGTTTAGCATAATATTTAATAACTTAATTAAGCGCATACATTTTGTGTTTTTTTTTTGTTTTTCTTTTTGGTTTATCGTTAAGGTTTTATTTCATTAAAAATCTTGTTAGTTGATATTAATAGATATTTTGGGATTTGTTAATTAGTTACCTAACTATTTATATATATTTCTTTGATTACAGTATATAATGGTTACATACATACATATACATATATATGTATATATATATATACATATATATATCTATATATATATATATATATATATATATGTATATATCTATTTATATATATATATATATATATATATATATATATATTATGTTTTCCATAGTCATCGTCGATTTATATGCTGTACAAAAAAAGCATTCAAAAAGTTCAAAAAATTTTCTGCACTCAAAATATGTTCAACTTTGTTCCATTTGCTTTTATTTTTTTTATATATATTATAATAACCGTAATGCAATTTGAACTTTAGCTCATAACAATATATATATATATATATATATATATATATATATATATATATATATATATATATATATATATATATATATATATATATATATATATGTATATTTATATATATATATATTTATATTTATATTTATATATATATATATATACTAGGTATGTACGTATTTTATGTTTTGTTTGCATGTATATATATACCTTTTTATTAATATATTATATATGTATGTACATATATATATACTTCTTTTATAGTTTACTTATCGGAAGCTATTTAAAATGGCACTGCAGTAATTTTGTTTATATTCCTATATATAAGGTGGGAAAATCAATTAGAATTAGGGTGAGAACGCTTCTCCGTCTTCTTGTCGAAGCTAAAATACCCCAAATATAATTTTTATCTAACCCTTTCTCGCTCTCTCTCTGCCTCTCTCGGTATACTTTAACAATAACGCATACAAGTCGGGTATATGTGTACCTTTATATACACCCACTTTCGATCGTCTTTTAAGTTATCCATTATTTAAAAATATATGGTACTTGATTATTGCATTTAAAAGCTTAGTAATGTTCATTATTATTCTTCCTCCTCCTTTTCATACTCGTTTCTGTGTATATATATGTATGTGTGTATAATAGTCTTTTTAAAAACCTTTCATATTATGTGTTTGTTTGTCATTTTCTGTATTTCAACTTTGTTTTTAACATTTTAGTATAAAATTCAATTTGCAAATGTTTTTTTTTTTGTTTTGTTTTTTTTTTTTTTTTTGTTTTACTAATGTTCCCCCAAATGTGTCTCACATGTCGCTTATGTTGCTCAATGCTCAATGTTGTATGTTGTATCATAATATTATGCTTATTAAAAATATTCATCATAAATGTAGCTAGAAATATATAGAGTTTAGTTAGCATAGTTGTGTCTGAGAGATATACATATTTGCCGAATGTATTTAGATATTGTTTATTTTTGAGTAGTTAAGGTAAGCTCTTCACCTTAGCTGAGTTTTAAAAGTTATATATATATGTGTGTGTGAAATTGCTTAAAAATAAATCTAGATTAACATATCAATTAATTCATTTCATAAAATACATATATATATACTTTTCGTTTAAATGTTTAGAAGTATTTGCTGCATTGTTGCATATTAATTACTTGTTTACTTTTTCTTAACTCTGCTAAAATTTAACATTATCTGTTTTTTTTTTTGCGTGGGAAGCGTTCGATTTTGGTTCCATTTCATTTCGTTTTTATTCAATTCATTGATAGATTAATTTTCAAAAATTTGTAGTTAACACTTTGAGAGCTTGAATTATCTTTCGAACAAAAACAAAAACTGATCTTTCAACTGATAGGATGAAAAAGCTTCTTTTTTTCGAAAATCGTTTTAAAATTTCTTTAATTGTTTTTATTATTTAAAAACGCGATTTAGTTTGCTCGTAAAATGCGTTAAAAACATTAAAGTAAAAATATATATACATATATTAATACATATATATATATGTAGTTTGTATGATCTTTAAGTAGTTTAAGTACCAATTTTTAGTTTGTTTTTTATAATTTTTTTTTTTTGGGTTGGGTGAGTTCCCCTGAAATAGCCTTAAAAAGTTGTTATTTTAAAAGTAGTTGACCCGCTTCACTTTTTGAAATGTGGTTAGTAAAAGTATATAAATTTGTCGTTATTTAAAAGTCAAGCATGTCTGTTTACAGAATCCAAAATGTTTTCGAGTATTTGGTTTTTAGTTTTAGCAGTTAAAAACATTTTATTTTAGATTTATAAAAGTGTGCCGCCTGCACTAATATCCAGCTTTTTTTGTTTGTTTGTTTAAGAAATCAATCAAGAGAAACAAGTTCTGTTTTTTTTTGTAATATATTAAGGGGTATATAGTATATAAGTCTTAAAAATACATATAATTATATTATAATTCAGCTAAAGCACCATTTTATGTATAAATATCTTCAATATATATATTCATATATATATATATACAATTTATTATCTAGTTAAAGGTATATGTTCTTTATATGTATACGTGTGTATATATGTATATGTTCATTCGCATTCGCATTCATTTCGATTGATTATTCCTTTTCGTTTTTATTATATTTTAGATGAAATATTCATGAGCTTTCTTGGTAAATACTTGGTTGCTTGCTAAATATATATATTCGTTATCCAATTTGTGATGACACCTGATTTTGTTCTCATTATCCATACACACCATGTGTATATACATATATATATATATATTTATTGGTATGCACTTTATGTATATGGTTTAATAAATATGTATATATATATAAGCATCTTTTGATTTGTGGTTTTCGTTAAAGCGATTTTATATTTTTGAGTGGGGTTGACTTGCTGTTTTACTGAAGGCATTAACTATATATTGAGATATATATATATGTGTATGTATATAGGCGTTTATAGTTTAGAATAAGCATATATAATAACTATGCGTGGTAATTGTCTAGCATTTGAAGGATTTTATAGCTAATTATTGACATACATCAACTAAGGGTAGACGATCAACTCGTTGCCTAATGCAAAACCTAAAATTTTAAGCTAGGCGCTACAACAGAAGCCGTTATACTAAGAGGCATCCAAGTTTACCCTAAGACCCGCGTATCATCATTCAGTTTTGTATTAATTTAAAAATTGCTTATTGTTGTGTAGGTCCACTTGTTGTTTTCGTTCTTTTTTTCTCTTTTTTTAAAATAAAACTATAAACAAATTCAACTAGTAGTTGCATGGCAGCTATATTAACATTTCTTTTTCAGTTTCTTTTTTTGCGCTACTCGAAGTCTACCGTAAAATCCCTGTAGGTTCTTTCATCTTCATACGTCCATCAAAACAATAATTGGCGAAACAAAAATTATGTTTAGAATAATAATTATTATAATATTATTGCCCTAATAGCGCACATTTAACAACTGTTAAACCACTTAATAGTTAGTTTTTGTTTATTTATATTTTTCTTGGAGTATTTAGTTGCAACGTTTAAAGTAATTAATAACTTGATTGTATTTATGCTTAAATTCGTTTGAATTTAATATTTGATATACGACTAAATGGCAAGTGTATCAGCATGGGGAAGCGCAGAGTTAGGTATTTGCTTAAGCATATTCCAAAGAGAATTCAGTAAAGCAAGAAAACAATAAGAAAAACAAAAGAGAAAGAGTATGAATTTTGGAAAACAATTAGTTGTCTTCTCTTTATATATATATAACGAATATATATTTGCATATATTTGTATATTTATGTGTTTTTGTATGTATTAAGCGTGTGTACAAAATATAATGTTTTGGTATTAAATTAAAGCGTAATATGTAATCATTTGTTATTACATACAAGGCATCGAGATTCGTTCTCAAAAATACATGAATAATAATGTAAAGACATAAATAATAGGAACAATGTTGTAGGCATTAAAACTAGTTTTAGCCAAAAACGGGCCAAAAGAGAAAAACAAAAGTTTAACAATCAATATAAATGTTCAACAAAATTTTTTAAACCTAGGAAAAACAAACTAAACATTAAACTATATAACACAAATTCAGTGTGACAAAAAACTTAAGAGCAATTTGTAAATTCACAACTTTTAAATCGTATTTAAAAATTGGAATTTTTAATAACCGCTTAACAAACGAATCAAAAAACTATATTCCTTTGGCTAATAAAAAAGAAGCTATAAAATTTCTGATCAATAGCACAACAAAAGAAATATATATAATATTTGTATATAAACTTAATAAAGGGGAAAGGGGGGAAAACTAAACAGAAAAAGCTTTTGCAGTTTCCAGAATGACAGATTCTTAAATAAGATAATACTGTATGCAAAATATTACAGCTTTTTGATTCAGCACTGAATAGAAAAAATAAAGTAACATAATGGAAATGGCCCATTTCAAGTAGCTGGGGTAGCTGTTTTCAGTTAGCATTCGAATGCCCGCTTCAAACGCTGATATGTAAGCATGATTATCAAAAAATATTATGTATTTGAGTTGATTATGTGAGACATACTCGTGTATATAGCCTAAAAGAAAAAGAATGTATATGTACATATACTTAATATCGTACCGTTTAAGTAAATACATCAAATAAATGAGTAACTTTACAAGATTCATTGTGATTGGGTGTGCAACACAAATAATTTTCGTCCAAATCTGTCCATTCGGAAAGGTTAAGCTTCCTGTTGCCTAAAAGTGCATAAATTTTGGTATCACTTAAAATTCAAAATTAGATCCCATTATGAACATAAATATGGAACTATTTAAAACGGCACGCTGAAAGTGCGTACAAAGTATAAGGTAGACACACACTTAAATCGTCGACTGATGTTGCTGTTGTTGATATTTGTACAAAGAATTGGCTGCAGAATTGTTGCTTCCAGCTGTTGACAAGAGATTCAAGTTGTTTGACTGCTGATTGGCATGTTGCTGAAGCTGAATACGTTTTTGCTGCTGCTGCTGTTGCTGCTGCTGCTGCTGTTGCGACTGCTGCTGCTGCGGTTGTTGCTGCTGCTGCTGCGGTTGTTGCTGTTGCTGCTGCTGTTGGTTACTATGATGACCAAGTTGCTGCAGCTTCTGTTCGATACTCAACCGATGGCCCGACGACGCCAACGAAATTGTAGATGATGACGCTGACGGGCCAATACCAACCAGGGTTTGCGACTTCGAATTTCTTGTCAAGGGCTTGTGATTTTTAATAATTTCACAACTGTGCTGCCATTGCCAACAACTGCGGCAAAAGTAACTGCAACGGATATAAATATGAGCATAAATTAATATCAACTACGATTCATTCTCATTTGGCTGGTTCATAAATACCGAAAACAGGAAAGTTCCCGACAATAGTACGGCCCGTGTTGTACACCGCAAATTGAACAGAGTGCATCTTCCAGATACGGATCCACCTGAACCTTCTTCGTAAATTTTGTGGTGCGGATTTCAATGAAGGCGGCCGACACAGCTTTCATATACGAGCGAAAGTTGCTAAAAGTTACGCGCCCAGAGCCAATTGGATATTTGTATTTATCTGTATCAATACCAGCATAGAGTACGCCATCAAATAGATCTTCCATAATTGTGGCCAATCCCTCTGCAGTTAGTTTTCCGTGCAAGGCGCCCACAAATACAGTTTTAGTGGGATCCAGCTTTTGAGAGCTTGATCTCACATAATTTGAATCGGCAATAATCCAAGGTATGACTTCCACCTGATTCCAATGTAGTTAATAAAAAAATATAAAGTAAAGCTGCCCCCAATTCAACGACTTACATCTTTCGACTTGATGCGTCGAGACGAAATCTTAAAGAAATAATTGCTGCCACAATGGGAGTCATCAACCTGCAATACGCATGCTGAAAGCAAAGCTTTCACCTGCTTATCAGACTCGAATATAATGTAGACGTAGCCCTTGGGTTGTGCCGCTTGCTGCTCTTTGCCGGGCCATTCCACTCTGTAAAATGGAATAGATCAATGAAGTACTCACAAATTATGTTGATTGATTAGATCTTTAGATATTTTGTGCTTACTTTATGGAACCAAAAGGCTTAAAGATTTGTATTAATGACTGCTCACTGATATCCCAAGGTATACCTCCTAGAAATACTTTGGGAGAGTAATTCAACATGCGATGGGAACGCGGCGGCAGTTGCCCACTCCAAGTACATGTTGCTTCACATATTGCCGCCGAGTTCTTATAAAACTTGGCAACGCGATCCAGATGCCAATCAGTGGCACTGCTAATAGCACTCGGTGCCACACCAACAGTGCTGCCAGTACCGCCAACAAGATTGCCCAAACTGGGCGTTGAAGTGTTATTAAGACTGTTTGAACTGCCGGCAGTAGGCAAATTGCTCGCATAGCTTTGTAGCAGTTGATTAAGCAATGGCATTTGTTGCGTTTGTGCCTGCAACAATTTGAGCGTATTGATCCGTTGCAAGTTCTGCAACTTGGCTAGCTCCATATCCATTATTGAAAAGTTCTCAAGACTACATTGATTCAGGCAATCACTGTTCAAATCGAAATTTTGCTGGGATCCACTTAACAGCTGCGACTCATAGTTGCGATTTAGGTTGTTAAACTGCGGCTGTTGTTGCTGCTGTTGTTGTTGTTGCTGCTGCTGTTGCTGCTGCTGATGTTGAGCCTGTTGTTGTTGTTGTTGCAACTGCTGCTGCTGCTGCTGCTGCTGCTGTTGCTGCTGCTGCTGTTGTAGCTGCTTCTGTTGATGATGGTGTTGTTGCAACTGTTTTTGCTGTTGCTGCAATTGTTGCTGCTGCTGCTGCTGCTGCTGCTGTTGCTGCTGCTGCTGTTGCTGTTGCTGTTGTTGTTGCTGCTGCTGTTGAAAATGATGTTGCTGATGTTGTTGTAAAGAAGCGAGCTTATTACTGTTCACCGAGAGCAGATTCTGTGAAGAACAACAGTTCAGAGTCCATATATACAAAGCTATTTAGAGCGACACTTACGATCATGTCCAAAAGATTGGGCTCGTTGAAGGACTGATTGCTGTTCTGACTCTCTGGCGAATTAGAGCGTGTGGATGCATTCTGTAGATTCAGTCCGAGATTTCCGCTGTTGCTGCCGCTCAAGTTGCTGAAGTTCTGCTGCTGGTACAGCATATTAATCGAATCTAACGATAAGCCATTGGCGCTGGAGGAGTTGCTGCTATCACTGCAAATATTATCGGTAGTTGTGTGAGTAAATGCGTTGGCTTGTGAAAAATATTAAATTGGTGCCACATCGTTACCTGACTAAAGGTGAACTGTGAAAGGAGCGATTGTAAATAGATGAAGGCGTACTTGGCGATAAGGGTGCAGAGCAATCGAAGCTGATGTTTGATCTTTGGAAAGCCTTAAGTGGGTTACTTTGTGCAACATTTTCAAACTAAGTTCGCCAATTCACCCGAAAAAGAAAGAAAAGAAATCAAATAAATTGAAAATTTTAAACACACACAGAGTCAGAGTCAGAGAGAGACACACACACATACAACATTGAAATCAATCAAAAATCATAAGTTTAGTATACAGTCCAAGAGCGTTGGTTTACACAGAAAGAGAAATAGAGAGAGAAAGAGAAGAAAGAAAGAGCAAGCAACAAAGTTAGAGAATAGTTTTTTTGGTGCAAATTCGGTGCAATTACAAGATACAAGATACAGGAGTCCACATAGACGAGAACAAGCTTGAGAATCACATGTGTGTGCCGAGAACTTACCTGAAAGTAATCAAAACTTGACTTGGTGCCTGGCGAGGCCGAGGACTGAGTTGAGCTAGGTGTCAGTGGTGCATAGGACGCGGCAGTCGCCGACAATTGACCGCAATCGCCAGTGGCAGCGACAGCGGCAGCTGCAGCAGTCGCCGAATTGCCAAGTAGCAAGTTATTAACGCCGCTGCTGCTGCTGCTGCCGTTACCTCCGGCGCCGCTTGCAATGCCAGCTGCCGTTGTTGCTACTTTTGTTGGGGCTGGTGCTGTTGTTGCCTGGGCTGCGATTGCAGGGCCGCTGCCGCCACACAAACCAAGCAGATCGTTCAGTGTGATTGGATCTGTAATAAAAATCAGAAATATACATGGATATATTTATATAAAGAGAAGAGACTCAAGGCATATGTATATATATATATGTGTGTGAATAGTCAACAGTTATCGTTGACTTGGCGCAGCCATCAATAAATCAACCGGCAGCTACTGGCAACATCTACAACACTCAAGTGCAACATTGACCATTGCCGAAGTGCCTCAAGCATTTTGCAAATATTCAAAATGCTTCTGCAAATAAATTAGGCATAAATGTACTGTGCACTGGATCCAATTGCAACCGAGTCTCGATGCTATGCGATGTGATATGATACGATGCGATGCGAAAGCTTTTTCTTGTTTTTTTTTTTTGGCACATCAAGCAACTTACTGCAATTGCACTGGGTTGCGTTGTTGTTGCTATTATTGTTGTTGTTACTCGCATTATTGTCGTATGCCAAGTTCTGTCGGCCATCGCCATCACCAGCTGCCATCATGCCAAGGTTCTCATCAATGCTAGAAGATTTCGCTGTGCCGCTGGTCTTGGTCCCGACTGTGTTGCTGGTATTAGTGCCGATAGTTTTGCCGTCATAGTTGATGCCAAATTCGAATGTCTCCTGCGTGGGCGACCCACTTGGCAGCACGCTTGGCGTCTTTCTCATATATAGTTCCTCAATACCCAACATGGCCACTAGTTTCTTCCTGTTCTGACGGTCTGGAATGCTGAAATGCTCAAATGCTTTGTTGCTCGGGTTACGTGTACTCCACACACTAAATTTTGTATTTAGCAATTTAAAATTTGACTATTACTTGAAAATTTATTGCGCTTCCTTTGCAAATGGCAATTGGGCGTGTTTACTTATAATGCAATTTGTATAAGGAACTCCGATCCTAGTTTAAACTACTTTAAACAAAATAAAGAATAATAATAATTTAACTATCGAAGGATATTTGTGTGCCGACTTCAAAAGGTAAAAAATGATTGAAATTTATACGTCCGTTTGCTAGACTCCAAATAATATTGACAAGAAAATGCCAGCAGTGCCAGTATAAGATGATTTTATAGTGTCAAAAAACGTCTCTATACCATGACAATAATTCCGATGGGATCCCCAATTATACTAAATGCTAGCACCAAAAGCTTTCATAGTAAGCAATATTTTGGCTCAGCTACTTTGTAGACACAGCCCTGTGCTCCCCGCATATCAGCTGCCTTCTTATAGAGTGCCGACTGTATACTCTATTATAATAGAAAATACAAATCTCAAAATCAATATTTATTAATATGGATATAGAGAGTAGCACAGCAGAATGGATAGATCAGTATTGTTATATGACTTTGATAAGTTGCTTTAAGATGTTGTAGTTGCAGTTGCAGTTATAGATGTATGCCACACATGTATATGCCACACACACATATATATATATATATATATAGAAGATTATATTTATTTTATTCAATAAAGTTCTCAACGTACCATTTATGAATGATATTAGTCCATCGCTGGCATCGGCGCGTCTAGCCAATAGATCCTGCTGCTGCTGCTGCTGTTGCTGTTGTTGTTGATGATGATGCTGATGCTGCTCCAGTATTGAGCTAATCGAATGTTTCTGCAGTAAATCACTAGAGCTGGCGCCGCTCAAGGCACGCATATTGCCGCCAGCCGCGTTGCAATCAGGCGTCTCGTACTGAAAATATAAGAATTTGAATAGAAATAAAATTTTAGTTGCCATCTGTTAGGGGCATGCAACATTGATTGTGGCAGGCATCCACACACACAGAGAAATACATGCACACATGTACGCAACACACTGTCATTAAAGTCAGCCCAATATTGTGGCAACTAATGAATCGTTTATCTTTAGCATTTCTTGCCACATGACGGCAGGCGACGTTGCAACAACGTAGCCAACTTGGCAAGACAGCCACAAGCACAAGGACACCCACAAGCCAGCCAGCAGCTGGCAGTAGTAGAAGACGTAGTGGGATACACTGCCAACCACACAGTCACAGCCATAGCCACAGTAACAGGCATAGCTATAGTTCCATCCACCATCCCCCAATCGCCTTCCTCTTCCCCAAACAGCAGCCGCCAGCAGACATGCTCTCCGGCACCAGCTCGACAAAAGTACACTCGAGCATTCGGCGCAATTAAAAGCGCATCAAGTGTCAGTGGAGCACACTTAAAAATGCCAAATTAGTGCAAATATTGTTATCAGGCACTCACCAAACAATTTAACGCAAAATGGCGTACAACTCATTACGTGGGGATTAATGCAGGACAGAGCAGCACTGACGATAGATGCTTACCAGCACAGGTGGAAGACAACTTTCAGCTGCTACTTGAGCGCTTAACCATATGGGAATAAGATGCATATTTATATGTGAAGAGCGCTCTCAAACGAGAGAGATCGAAAGAGGATTAAACTTAATTGCTCAAAGATTTAATTCATTATTTACAATATTTATAATCTAATGAAGGCAGCTCAGAACAGCACTGATGAGAGTTAGCCAGCACAGGTAGAAGTCAACTTTCAGCTGCAACTTGAACCCTTAACCATATGGGGATTACGTACAAGTTTTATATATATGAATAATATGTGACATAGAAATATTAAGCTCAATTGCTTAAAGATTTATATACTATAATTATTTACAATTGTTATAAATATTGCATACTGCAAATTTGCATAATAGCTGGGCACTTTAAAATAAAATATTTCGTTTTTAAATTTGCTTTAAAATATGATTTTGAAAATGTTTAAATTTTGAGAAACAGATTGTTTTTTAATATTATATATTGTGTATTTATCAAGTTATGATTTGTTCATATGAAATTACTCAAAGTATTACTAAATTGATAATTATTTAATTTTACAGCTTGAAGTGCGCTTCTCTTCTGATAAATGTCTCTTTCAAGGCAGCTGGGTGTGTGTGGCAAGTTTTAAATGGAAGTCAACGGAGGCATACTTACTTTTTGTCAACTTGTCACAACTATGTTAAGTACAAAACTTGCTATGGATTTAAAAATTGAATGACAACTTGATGAAGGTACGTGAAAAGTCGGAAATAGCATGAGCATCCACACACTCACAGGAAGCGAACACATACTGACGCACACACCCACATCCAGACCCAGACACGTACACACACAACATACGCCCCCAGTCAGTGGAAATGTAAGTCGATGGACAACCAGCTGAATGGCGACATTGTCGTTGCCTGTTGACACATTTACCATGGCATACGTATGGAGATTTCACAGTTTGTTTCCAGCCAGCGATAAAAACGGCGTCAATGAATGCAAATTACAAATAGTCTTCAAGATATTTTGTAATGTCGAGGCCACGAGTTTCCATCTACATCCGCATACGCGAAAGGCCGAAAGCTGAGAGGCTTTGGCACAGTCGTAAGACACTAGTTAGGGTTACTTATGCATATTCATGTTGCATCTAACGAATAATGAATGCTCTTTAAACCCGAGCGAAAGCAACGGAAACAGTTCTTCAAGAAGCTTAACTGCAAAGGGCTTCCGAGCAGGATGCTATGTCTAGAGAAATATCATTAACTTAGCAAACAGCAAGGCCTAGTTAACGTACTCCTCGATCTAACAATAAAACCCACAAACTAGGAAATTGAATACGACAAAAAATCTTAACCACTTGCCACACATACATATGTCCACATATATATATATATATATATATGCCTGAGCCTTTACTACAACCCATAGACACATCCTGTCCGAGCACATTGCTATTGCCCTTTGTTTGTCTTTGACGTCAAGGATTTTTCAAATTTGATTCAATGGTGCTGCTTGTGGTGGCTTTGCCCAGAGCCTGACTCCATGCCAATGACTGACTGCCTGCCTGCCTGACTGCCTGCCTGCTGATTCTGATTGTCCCATGTAGATATTTTGGAAATCTCGCCGCTCTTCCAGAGTATAGACGCCAAGCAAGCAGCCATCGAGCTGGCACTATAACTCAGTAGTTATTTATCCAGTGTCCATTCGACTTGGCTGCTGTACATTTGCTTGATGGTTTCATCTTCGCATTTCTTATTTTTTCTTCGTTTTTGGCAACCGCTTGACTGGAATTGGAATGTTCGGGGCTGCATTTTAGTGCATATGTGCAGCACACACACAAAGATGCCCCCAGACAGGGGCAAATGGGGGTCTCTGTTGGCTGTTTGAGAAAATTACAAGTTTCCGCTTTCAGAAGTCTTACAAATTATTATGTTTGCATCGTTTACAACACTTATTATTTGTTGCTGCCCGCTGCGGCTGTGGCCCCGGCCCTGGTCCCGGTCCCCACTGCTTGACTGTGTCTTGGCCTGGCCAAAAAGGGTTTGACATTAAAATTTGATGGCATGTAGTGATAAGCGCCCAATGAAGCTGGCGTCCTTGTTGTCCTTGCCGCTCAATGCAATTCGATTCGATACGTTGCGATGCGATGCGATGCTACCCCCAGTGACCAGCAAAGCGCAAAAGGTTAATGCACAGTTGTAATTTTTTATGGTCGGTTACATGTTGCAAACTTGGGAACAGCGGCAGTCCATAAAGGATAAAAGTTATTGGCAAATACATTTGAATTTACTTTGCTTATAGAACGCTCAGCCACATAACATCTTATATGCACTTCTTAAGTGAGTGATAATGTTTGCCAGACGGACAGACGCTTTGCTTAACGAGCACTTAAGCTTTAAAAATGAATATGTTCGGCTACTTTCGAGGTGTTGATAAGTAGCAGCAGCAAGTTGAATGCATTTTCAATAAATGCCTCGCTTTTAGCCAGTCAGTAAATCAGAATTGTGCAAAATTATAAATGTTTGTTTTCTTATAGGCCAAACTAAGCTAAACTCAAAGCCACTTCTAGATTATTCAACCCTATTTAGTAAACTCAAATATTTTAAATATATCTGATCTTAAATCAGTATGTGTGGGCTTATCAATATCGAAACTTAAAAGAGTTGGGGACTTAAACTATAAGAAATTGCTCCTATTGCACTTGAAGATCAATCTCGATATATAAAAATAATTTATAGAGCTTTACCAAGTTTGACAATATTATTAAGTTGTCCTAAAATATCATTTACTTCAAATTTCAGATAAGTCAATATCAAAAGTTATACACGAAGCTCCGGGTACCTCGTAGCCAGACACTCCTGACTACAGCAAGTTACTATAAAAGGCTATTCACTGATGCAATTTCTTGTGTTGCTCACTTAAAAATAATTTTATAATTATTTTTAAATGGCAGAATAAATATTTTAACCTCAGACTCACGCTGCTGAGGCGCTTTGTTTCCTTAAAAAATGTCCTTTCATTATAGTAAGTGGCAAGCGCTTACAATTGTGCAGTAGCAGCAGCAGCTCACCTTTTCAGAGTGGGTATTTGATATTTGATGACTTGCAAGCTGTTTTGTTATAAAAGCCAGCCTGAGAAAAGCCCTCGTTGAAGCAGATCTGTCGCTTATCTCTGCTTTCAATATGGGGGCGGCAAGGGGCGACCGGCAACAATTGAGCGTTTAATATTGCAAATTAAAAAGCACAGCGCTGAACTGCACACGCTTAGAGCACAAGGACATAATGCTACTCCATGCTGAGGAGCCAAGTTACAGGGCAACTGTGCTGTGTTGTGTTGTAAGCATGAGCGTGGGTGTGGGCGTGGGCCCAATCGATTGGATGGGATTCAAATGCCTGCAGGTCACACGAACACAATGCCAGGCCTAACGCAGTGGCAGTGGCACGTAATTGCAGTGCGCCTACAAGTATGCAACATGCGCCCACACACCAGACAGTTGCAGCAGCACTCTCGGATGTAACTGCAGCTGTGCTGGCTGGCCGTGGGTGTGGGGGTGTGTGTGCCTTTCGGTTTTGATATTTTGCTGGAGATGCCATTGCCGGGGCAAATTAAATTGAGTTGCATGTTAAATGTCATTTCATCAGCGGCACTTGATTTGTGCCTTGACACGAAGTCGCTTAAACTACACACCCACACGCACACACACACTCTCACACAGTTTAAGTGCACAGCATTAAATGATACTTTGAATGAACTATCAAACAGTTGCAGCTAACTCTGCCGCTGCTCCTGGCTCATGCATCCATTTCATAATAACAATATCGTAATTCAAGCAACTCTCTGACAGAGCTGCGTCCCGTTTACATGGACGTAGGACGTATGGCACCCCAGCCAACCCCACCCGACCCCACTGCCGCCTACGACGCAAACAAACGTGAAGCGAGCGTGGCGACATTTCAGTTTCAACGCCAACATTTCCGATGCCTGTGCGCTTTTGTTGCCGCTGTCGTTGTTATTGTTTCAGTGTGTGTGCATGTGTGTGTGTGGGGAGATGATTCAGTGAGAAAGACAGCGAAGAGAAGACAATTTTTTAAAAAACAGCCGTTAACAGGCATTCAATATAGTTATGTGTGTGAGTAAGCGTGTGGGACTGTTGTGTGTGTGCGTGTCTGCTAAGTGGAAATAAAACACGCGCTTTTTGCGTACTGTATTATCTCTGCGAGTTGAGCTGCTTTGGACCGCGCACAACAGGGCGTATGATGCATATTTGCATACCCCATAATATGATGTAGACAAGCTATAAAAATAGCTTAGCTAGATAGTAATGCAACGAATACTTAGCGTATGCATGTCTCTTCTCTATATATCTATTAATATGTATAACTATATATATCTAGTTAAATATACGTATAACAAATTTGATATTAATAATAATAGTCTTAGGATTTGTTATCAATCAATTGTTTACCGATAAGAATATTTATAATAGGTCTACGTAGAAACTACTACGATCGAATGCTTTCCTCTTTGAGATTCAATCGTTTTTCGAACATTTAATCAAAAATTATTAGAAATTTTAATTAGTACTTCAGTTATTTCTGTTTTTTATATAATTTTGAGATATTTAGTCTTGTAAAATCTTTCTTGACTTTATTTAATATATTTATTAAATATTACCCAATAATTTATTCATGTGTCCAGAGCGTATCTAGCCGTCATGCATTAGGCCAGGCTGCATTCATACTTTGCTTTTATTTTGTAGCAAACAAAAAGGAAGAAAAGTTTTTCATGCCTATTTAAAAAGCAACAAACTCCGCTTTTGCAGCGTGGCCTTTTATGGTTGGTTTTATTGTTTTGTACTCTGCTGTTTTGCCTCTTGTTTTCTTTGACTGCAGTTTTTTGCGCGTTTTTAATGATAACACACAACATCATTGTTGTTAGCCACGCCCATGCCTCATGCATTAAGTGCTAGTTGGATGGGAGCGACGCGATGCGATGCGATGTGATGCGATGCGACGATGTCTGTGCTAAAGTAAATTCAATTGAATTTTTGAAATTTTTAATGCCAGCGTCGCATATTGCACTGGCTACGCCCAGTTCACAGCCCAAACAGCCAGCCAACCAGCCAGCCATCTATCTAGCAATCTAGCAATCCAGCAATCCAAGAATCCTACGAACCTCAAGCACCCCACCGCAAAACGCGTCGCATTTTTTTATATCCCTTCTGGCTGGCGGCGGGCGTGTGATTTGCTTGCTATCGACATTTTAATGATGTGCCTCGGGGCGCTTTCGCTGCCATTGTGAGAGCTCCATGAGACGGACGTCTTGAATATTGCACGACATCGGGGAAGGAGCCCGGCTGGTGCAAGGCATTCCAAGGCATTCCGCTGGCCAACGCCATAGTCGCTAAGCTGTCAGGCTGGCTGCCTTTTGTTAAGAGTAAAAAACTCTGCTATATATTTAGACGTATATATGTATGTCTATATATATTGTTATATACATATATATAGTTGCAAGTGCAAATGGTTAGCACAATGATTTCCTATTGAAATGATTCTTTATTCATTTCATTTCGTTTGGATTTTCTTTTATAATGCCAATGATTTGCCTATCGAGCGTCTGGCGCGAAGGCTAATAACTGGCAATTGCAGAAAGCATTTCGATTATAGCTGATTTTTAGCTTAACGAAGGTGATAATACCTCCAAAGTGGTTTAATAAAATACATTTATTTGGGAGTTCTCGACGAGAAACTACCCTGAATCAGGGAAAGACCAACTGTATTTGTGGAAAATACGGGGAAACTTTCAGCAAGTCGAGTGCTCTTTCGTATATAGTAATTAAAAATAATAAATATTGGTAGCTTTAGCTGCAGTGTGACGTTGACTATTATTTATTCCGGGAAAGCATAATTATAGACAGTCAAATTAACATAGTTAGTTAACATAGTTAAGTGCTGATCCTGATGCAGAATAAATATCATTAATGATTTAGCAATATATATTTCAACTATAACAATTCACCCTCTTTACTCATGTCAATGCTTTGACAGTTCATACAAGGAAACCTGATCTCTTTGATCACATCAAAGAGGATAAGTTCTTGTAGGAATTGAGGTAAGAATAGCAGTCAGAATTAATCAGCTGGATTACCAAAATCAACTCGCTTTGCACACAAATCAACAATATTTATATACTCTAATCAGCGCGGAGAAGTCACCTTTCATGAATTAAACATTTTGTGAGCAGCAGACAAGAAGGAACTTAATACAGTGAGGCATTTTCCAACTATTAGTATTACTACGAATATAAACTGTGTCACAGCGGGCAAAATGAACTTTTGCAAATAAAATGTTGTACAAACGACAAATGTACTTTATTTATAGGCGTTTTTAGCAGCAGGCTAACGGCACATAAATAAAATATATTACATGAAATACATATAAATAAAGCGACGGGCGAAGGAAATGAAATAATATAAAGTATACGCCACAGTGGCACAGGAAGCATTACTGCACGGATCGGCGTTGGCATTTTAGACATTACAACCAAATAAATATGAATATGTATAAACAAAATATTTTAGTATGTATGTATGCATGTGTGCATTATATAAATATGCATTTTTATATTAGGGCAACAACAATGGCGTACTGCGCCAATCCACCCCACAAGCTGCAGCCGCCATTGCCATCAATGGGAATGCCGCTTACACGACAAAATTGACATTTTGCATTTACTTACTTTTACTATACATTTTTTGAATTCTTTTTTCGTTTTTTTTTTTTTTTTTTTGCAGCAACAATAAAATGAGAAGAAAAATTGCATAATAACCCCTTTGAAATGGTCGGATTATCCTTAAATATTTGTGTAAACATTGTAACAAATGCACAGCCTCCATTGTAAGGCCGTGCTGTAGCCCCAACCCACCCATCTACGGCCCTCCTTAAATGGCTGAATGATGAGCAATAGACGGGGCCCTTTACAGTCGACAATGAGTAACATTGTAGCTGGGCGTTTCGACTGAATGACAGACGACGATGCCGAGCAGTTAGGTCTACAGACAGAGAGACAGAGAGAGAGTGAGCGCGATGAGACGCTTACGCATGCAACAATAGCGTTGCAATAGCAAATGGAGGCGGAGGGAGACGTCTTACAGTGCAATCACACACACACGCACCCACACAAACATATTGACAGGACTTTGGTATCGTTTAAGCGTGACAGCAGCGGGTAACATGTGCGTAAGCCGTGCCTTAGCCATATTATAATGATTACATGTGTGTCACTTTACTAAGCGCTGCCAAGAAGGAAACGCAGGCAGCGCCCCGGGCGGAAGCCCTCGAGACAAGTGACAATTTGGGCGGAGAGGCTTACCGCAAAAATTGACTGAGCTGACAAAATATTAACTAAAATGACATTTTTTGAAGATAGTCACAAAAGATGGCAACTGATATATGAATTGATATGACTTAGGTACAAAACAACAGCAAATTCATCAATATAAATAAAGACCCATCATATCACTTAAGCGTCTCAACATATAAGATTAAAAGAGAGAGAAAGCGGGAGTGAGAGAAGGAGTGAGAGGGACGCATCTGGTTGAACTGGGAACTTACACCAATTGGTATGGTAAAGCTGAAAACTTGAACAGAAAATCTTGGTAAAAAAATAATAACTAAGCCCCAAATCTAGTATGTATCTTAACTAATATGCAACTTGACTTTGTCTAATTGGTATATCAATAGTTTTGCTAGATATCCAGATTGGTGAATATATACAAATGTATAACTCCTTAAATATAATAATTTTTATTTTGGAAATGGTAAATTCTTTTAGAGCACCCACTGTATATCTCATAGTTCCTTGAAATCTTAAATAAGCCCAATTAAATCTAAATGTGTTTTATAGACTTTACTAACTTGCAATAATATTAACTGAGGCGAATTTCTAATATTTCCACAATAGATTCCTACGTATTATATCAATATTGTCTTTAATATTATAAGCAAAGGCAAGAAGCCGGTTTATTATATGAAATATAAGATTTTTCTTGGAAGTATTTAATATGCTTTAAATAAGCATGCTCAAAATCACCGTAGCTAGACATTTGCCAGCGCATTATGTCGAAGTCAATTGAATGCGCACGAGAACGTAATCTTCTTAAATATTTTCTATTGAGACTGAGAGAATGTCAAAGACCAAAGCGCAGTTGTCATAAAATAGGTTCGTACTGCAGTAGAGTAATAAATTTTCAATTCAATTTGTTATACTATATATATTTAGTTTTTTTCCTATGTGCATATAGAAACCGCAGAGAGTAGTCAAAGCTTTCATATGTCATAGTTTCATGTTGCTTAATTTAATAAATTCATTTAAATGAATTAAAAATATATAAAAGCGAAGAAAATTAAATCACGCAACTATTTTGCGCAACACAGAGTACAATTAAACGCCTTCCACACGTGCAAACACACACTCACGCGGGCAGACAGACAGAAAGACATTCAGACAGCTTAGTTGAAGGCGTTGCACTGTCTAGGAGCAGACACTATGAGCGAACACCGCAAGTTTAATCGAATTAAACTACTCATAACGTGCAACAGACAACAAGAGTCGACTGCAAAGTGCGATGGGGAAAAACGTGAAGAAGCAGGAGCAGCAGTTGACACTGCATTGCCGTGAGGCGCATAAAGTTAAGCACTAATCTGATTAGGATCATCATCCCAGGGTCTACTGTCATATGCACAATCAGTCAGTGGCTAGAAGTTGAGCCGATATGGCTCCCGTAAATACACACAATCATATCGAGGTGCAAGGTGCAAAAGCAGAGGCAACAATGCGAACAGCTATGGGGAAAGGACTGCAGCTGCTGTTAGCATTTGCAGGGCGTGGAACCAGCTGATGCGCTCTGGTTCTCTTGCTCATCTGGGAGTTGTACGTGAGCGGCTCAATTACGGCTAACGCCACGCCACTCCACCCCACGCCATGCCCGTTCGGGCTGGGCGTGCGAATGGGTTTTATTATTATTTACATACCTGTTGCAGCAGGGGCATTGTTTTGAATAAAAATTCCAATTTCCACACTTGTATTTCACGTTGCCGTTAGTCCCGTCGTCGTGCGCGCTCCTTCTCAGCGTCGGCGTCGTCGTCCTCGTGGTCGTTGTTGCTGCTGCGGTCGCCTGTCGTCGGCTACAGCATCGGCTGCCGGATAAGCTGACAAAGCGGCAAAACAGATGTCGCCACTTCCGTATGCTCGCACCTCTTCGCCTCTTGGCCTCTTGTTGTGCCGGCCAAAGCAACAAAACAGCAAACAGCTCCAAGCTCCAAGCGGCTTGCCTCACCACTTGCTCTCAGTTCGCTCTCGTTTTCTCGCTCTTTCACTCTCCCACCGTGGTCGCTCTCTGGCATACGCTCAATGGTTTGTGCTGCGCAGCGAGTGTCCTTTCTTTGAGCAATGTTCGACTCGATGATGCGGCTGCCCAAAAATGTTGTCTGGCGTGCCTCAGGCAAACATGTTTGCTGGCCAAAATGGTATGCTTAGCTTTTATAGTTGTTGCTATTGTTGCTTTTGTTGACGTTGTTGTTCTTGTTGGTAATAAGGATTTGGCACCACTCGGCACTTCACTACGCAGACAGCAAGCAGATGCGGCGGCCGTTTCAGCTGACGCAAATAATCATCGATTCATTATTCCCTGTCAATGATGAAAATCTCGGGTTGCACCCTGCTGAAGTATATGGAAAAGAAACGAAACAAATGTTAAATATGTCTATAGAATAGAATAGAAATAAAAACTAATAATTTAAATTAACTTAAATGTGATATCATTATTACAATGTATTTAGCTAGTTCTATATAATAAGATACATAGATAGATAGATATATAGATACATAAACATTTTATTAAATCTAATTAAGTTTTTTCTACCTACATTTTTAAATATTTTTAAAAATTTTTCAATTATTTCCCAAGACTATATAAAGTATTTGTTCCCTGTTTGAAATTTGGAAAGCAAATTAAATTCATATTTCCTCGACATTCAAGATCTTTACTTAAAATAAATTTCACTTCCAATTTATTTTTCTTCTTCCTTTTGGTACTTTTAAATTGAATATCAAAACTTTAAGCTTAGCTTACACAAATTCAAATATTTACTTTATATTCATGTTAGGATTCAACGGTTTCCTTAATGCGTGTAAGTCTCTAAGTCGGCACACAAACAAGCACGCACACCCATCGACATACACACACGTACACAGCCACGCACACTATTCAACCATTCTAAATGAGCTCACTTAAGCGTTAAACGCTGTAAATCGATCAAGGCGTATCCCCGCAAACATAACTGTAATTAACCATTTTCCGCCATGCCCCCGCTTCGTAATCAACGACAAGTTCTTTCCAAGTGCTTTCGTGCGAGCGACTGGTTCATAATTTTGTCGTTCACAGTAATTATTTTAATTTTTTATTTTTATTTTTTTTGTATAGCTAAATGTGGTGATGGGCTAAAATGGACACGGCACTCAAAAGATGAGAGTCCTGTGCTATGCTGAGGACGTGTTGATGTCTATGTACGTATGTATGCGTCTCGGCCGTGTGCGTGCGCCAGCGGCTGTAATCCTTTTGAGAAACAGGAAGCGAAGCTATTATTAGAACCATAAATCAGCATGAAATGAGCAGAACGCCGCAGAGCCAGCAAACCAGCAACAGCAACAGCAACAACGAGTAGAGCAGAGCGCCAACGGAGCTTGGGTAGTTTTTGTTCTTGTTCTTGCTAATGTTGTTGCTGTTGTCGTTGTTCTTGTTGCTATTGCCCGTGGTCCTCTCTGTGCGTATTCGTAGTTGTAAAAAGTGGTCGACTAGTAGGAGAGCAGTATTTGTTGTTGCTGGAGCTGTTGGGCAAATGACGTGAGTTTGGCAAGGCGTGCGCGACGTAAAATACTCATGGAACAACGGAAAGTTGTAAAAAGACAGTGACGAGGGCCGACGATTCCGTTACTACTGCTACAACAAAAACAGCAATAACAATACGAAATCAACACGCACTATAAAAGGGCATTGAAGCTGCACTCGATGAGAGTATAAATGCATCCGAGACTACACAATCATGCGACTTAGATTTGCCCTTATAGAACTCCTCCGGGTACACTCTTCGCACACAACTATCAAATTTGCCGACGATTTGCCGTGCCGGGCCCATTTACCTTTTTAAATATACATATATACCTATGAATGTATGTATGTTTGTACACACGTAAAACGTTACAATTTCGCAAGTATGCTTGTATGTATGAATGAATGTTTGTATGTAAGTATTTACATACCCGAAATTGTAGTAGATGCAGTTTATGTTTAGTTTGTTGCACGCGTCACTCACATAAATTTGTTGAATTTAATTTCAATTTTACACGCGCATTCAGTTTTTGTCGTCCTACTGCATGCATGCAAAGCACATTTTTTTCTCACACTGTTCTATCCGGCTTGTAACCGTTACTTCAAGTTGTGTTGTGTGCTTTGCACGCGTTTTCGTTAATTTTACTATGCTACAGTTGTTGCTCTTGGTATAGTTTGCAGTCTCTTGCTTTACACTTGTAAAAATAGGCTACAAGATGAAGGCGTTGTGTATATTTTCTATTTTAATTTAAACAGCAACGAAAAAAAGAAGTGTTTTTATTTGCACTGCCGCTGGGTTCAACTTTTTCTTGTTGCCGCTAAGTCAGAAATGCAATAACCTCACCTAACGAGCAATTGAAATACACTGAAGCCTGACGACGACAGATGCTGAGAGCGCAACTGAAATCTCTATGTAGGTTGGCTGCTGCCCTAATCTCCTTCTCCAACATCAAAATCAGGCGCAGGACAACACACAAGTTGCGAGGAGGTTGGCTAAAACCATTGAACATTTACAAACATTTTTTGGTTATTGAATTGAGAAACGGACTTAAACTATATTCAAAAAAGTTTATTAAATTACATATACAAATATTAATTTATAATTTTGTTAGTTAAATAAATTGTTCTTACAGGTTTAATTTTGAAAAGCCGAGCCAAAAATTTCTCACAGTGCCATTACTTATTTTGTGTGAATGGCAACACCAGCTGTCGACATTGGCGTTGCCAGATTACTCGTTTCACTCCAGCGCTAGCCGGCACAGAAAAACTAACAAATTGGTCAAAAACATAAATAATATTTTAATAATATGGCTGGCGATGGTGAAAGCAGTAATACCGATGGCGCAAATGATCACATTGATCTTTCGGTGTACCGAAAACTAGTTCGACAGTTTATTGACATGGTAAATTAAATTGAAGCATTTTAATCAAACGTAGGGGCTTATCGTTTAAAACATTTTTCACAGCGCCGTTATTCGTCAGCTTTGTTTTGGGCCGAAAAGGTATCTGTTTTAAGCGGCCATGAGCCACGGGACGTCTACTACCAGGCACAATGCATGTTTTTGCTTGGCGAGTTCCATCGTGCGGCCCATACAATCCAACACTACAAGCTAGAGAAGTCCTCGCTGCCATGCTTCAATCTACTGCTGGAAAGTCTCTATGCGGCCAAGCAATATAATGAGGCAGCAAACATCATACAAGTCGTTGAGGTTGAGACTATGACCACATCTGTGATTAATCAGCCTATGGATACAGCCAGCGGAGTCTATTTCGAAAGCAACAGCGTTTTTGGAGGTGAAGAAAACAATCGAAACGAATTGCTGGCTTCTATATTCCTGGTCAAGGGAAAAGTATTTGAAGCATTGGACAATCGCGGAATGGCCATGGATTTCTATGTACAGGCTCTACACAAATCTATATATTGCTTTGAGGCACTTGAAGCGTTAGTGCAGCACGAAATGCTCATGGCTTGGGAGGGTAAGTAGCCAAAGCAACCCACCGAGTTCCTATAAATACATTTTAATTGTGTTATAGAATTTGAGCTGATGCATCATTTGCCACTCGCTCAACAATCCAGCGAAGCTGATGCCAAGTTCATCCTCAAACTGTACGAGTCTAGATTGAAAAAGTACTATGAGCTTATATCAGCGCGTAACGCAGAAGAAATCTCGCCGATTGTAAATCCGGACGTACTCAAGTATATTAAGGAGTTTACGGCAAGAGTGCAGCAAACCTGTTCAACGGATACACAGGTGCCCAAGCCCTCGGTGTCCAAGGTGCCAATGGCATCAAGCCAGTTTATGTCTCCCGCACAGAAGTAAGTTTTAATTAAGCATTGCTTTATAGTTTGATTGTATGAATATTGTGCAAATCTTACAGAGTGTTGGACGATCTGAAAGCACCAACCTTTTCTCTACAAACAAGCCTGTCACGCGCTTCATCTATGATTGATACTACGCACCGCTCGCTCTTTGATGCATCCAATCGTCGAGGCTCGCGCGAACATGAGAGTGACAGTTTAATGCCGCTTAACGATTGCTTGAGTCGAGTGCAGCGCAGCACAGATCTCCTAGCCGCTGAGGCTGAAAAATGTTTTTATGACTGTGACTACAAGCAGTGCCTGAAAATACTCAGCAGGTAAGTGTTGTGTTTGCTATGTAATTACTCCATATTTAAAATAAAACTATATATTTTTTATAGCTTGTTGAAGGTTGATCCATTTCACAATAACGCACTGACCATACAAATTGCTTGTCTTGTGGAAAATGGAGATTTCAATAAGCTGTTCTATGTTGCCCACAAGTTGGTCGATCGGTACCCGGATAAGGCCATTTCCTGGTATGCTGTCGGTTGCTACTATGACATGATAGGCAAGAGTGATCCAGCACGTCGTTACTTGTCAAAGGCCACATCCCTGGATCGCCTCTATGGCCCCGCTTGGCTGGCTTATGGACACTCCTTTGCCAACGAGAACGAGCACGAGCAGGCAATGGCTGCTTACTTCAAGGCCACCCAGCTTATGCGCGGCTGTCATTTGCCTCTACTTTACATTGGAGTGGAGTGTGGACTTACCAAAAACCTGGAATTGGCTGAGAAGTTCTTTTTACAAGCCATGACAATTGCGCCCATGGATGTTTATGTGCTGCATGAGCTGGGCGTGATTAAATACGAGTACGAGTACTTCGATGGGGCGGCCACAATATTTCAATGTACCGTGGACATTGTTAGGCAACGTGCCAAAGCCAATAATGAGGAGGTGTCGGCGCGCTGGGAGCCGCTTTTTATAAATCTGGGTCACTCCTATCGTAAAATACAAAAGTTCGAGGATGCGCTATACAATTTTCAATTCGTAAGAGCTTTTTTTACTTTCCTATTATTGTTCGTAATGAGTAATGAGTAATTGTTTGCTTGCAGGCGCTTTTGCTAAAACCCCAAAGCGGCAACACATACACTGCTATTGGCTTTATACACGCTCTACTGGGAAACTTGGATGAGGCTATTGAGTATTTCCACAAGAGTTTAGCCCTGAATCGCGATTGTATTGTCACGTCCACAATATTGAAGGATTGTATTGAGGACTTGATGGATGATCCCACCACCATCGATGAGATTTGCCGCAAGGCACTGAAAGATGTAAATGAATACACAACGCCGAGCAGCCGACGCGTAATAAATACGGATAAATTGGGTGGTATTAAAATGAATTTGAAATTCGATGAGGAGGAAGAGTTTTCAAATTCAGACTCAAACATGGTTGTGGAAATGAGCTTCGATCCATAGAGAATCAGCTGCAAACAGCACACACAATAAAACCAACGAAAAGTTCAACAATTTGAGTTTTACCAATATATGTTCTGTCGCTGACTCATTAAATATTCTCAATGTACTAATACAACAATTTGACGATGACGGCTGTCATCTGCACTTGAACCCAATTTATGCACTCGGCTTACACAGCTGTTCCAGCTAATGAACCAAAAAGAACATGGGATTTTTTATGATGTTTTCCCCATATTTATTTGAAGCCGCCGCCGTTTTGAGCTGTATGTGCATTGTACAAAGTATTTAAGCATGCGAATTGATCCATATCACGATCATTTTATTATTGTCAGTGTCTAAAATTCATTTGATATCCTATAAATTAAGAAGTTCAATATATTTTCGTTCGCACGTAAGCTATAGTTGTAGAATTTATGCTATATGAATTAAATGACTTTAATTGTGAGTCGCTAGCTTGTTTAATTTCAAGCTAGGATATAATGAGAATTGTGTTTATTTATGCATAAGTGCCTAAGCATGACCTCTGATATTTCCAGTCTAAATCACAGCGGCATTATATAAGCAAACTGTAGCAAATAAATCTATCTTGTATAGAGGTCAAGACGATAATGCTTATCGGTTATTCTTATGTGCGAAAAACTAAAAAACTACATTAAGAAAATGTCGTTAAACTCGGCGTATGCAAACACACTACTGATACGATTTATGAAAGTCATTTCGCCCTAAAAACAAAAACAAAATTATATAGCAGTAATACGGTTGGCTATGAGCGCTACCCAAATATTTGTCCACCAATAAAAGCGTGTGACGAGCCAAGACGATGACGACAACAACACTGTCGAGTGCACGTCTGAAGGTCTGCCGGTAAAAAAATATGTTTATGTATATAATAGCCCGTTGCCGACTGATAAAGGCGGGCACGCTGAACACCACTGACTGAGTATATATATCCAGTCTTCTCCAGACCAAAGCACAGTCAAACTTTAACCAGCAACCAAAAGAACTAACCAATCCAAACAATCCAACATGTCCCGATTGTCTTTGTTTCTACTTCTGGGCCTGGCCTGTGCACAGGCAGTGCCACTGGCGCTGTACGATGATATTGATGACACCGAGGTCATTGAGCTTCCCGAGAACGGGATTGATGAGCCGGCGCCCAGTAAGGACATCATTGACCTGAGCTCTTATGGTAGCGCCTTATATGGTGAGCCGGATCTAGATCTAACAGCATCTTTGGTGGGCAACTTCAGTGCCGACACAGACACGGTGAATCCCGAGGAGCTGGGCAGCTATTTAGAAGGCGACATACTCATACCAAAGACGGCTATTTCCATGAAGAACGGCCTGACGACACAGAGCTCGCGCTGGCCCAACGGTGTCGTGCCTTACGAAATCCGCGGCAGCTTTAATGCTCGCGACATGGCTACGATCCAGGGTGCTATCGATCAGTACCACAAGCGGACATGCATCCGATTTGTGCCACGCAGCAGTGAGCGGGACTACATTTCGATTGTAAGCAGCAGCTCGGGCTGTTGGTCATCGGTGGGTCGTGTCGGTGGCAAGCAGGAGGTGAATCTGCAGTCGCCTGGCTGCCTCAGTCGCCCCGGCACAGCCATACACGAACTGATGCATGCCCTTGGTTTCCTGCACGAACAGAACCGCATGGAACGTGACAGCTTCGTGGCCATCCAATACAGGAACATTCAATCCTCGGCCATGACCAACTTCGAGAAGGCCGCCTCAACAGAAGCCTTCGGCGTGCCATATGATTATGGCAGCGTCATGCACTATTCAGCGAACGCCTTCTCCACCAACGGACAACCCACTATAGTGGCCATGGTGAGTCAATGGAGTCACTCGTTTTCCAACAATCTTTTTAAGCTAATCTTTTCATATTCATGCACAGAGCCCGGAGGGTTCTTCTAAAATGGGTCAGCGCACTGGATTCTCAGATTTCGATGTAGAGAAACTGAATCGCATGTATGACTGTGGCTATGTGGGCGGATCTGCACCAGCCGCCGGTGGAGGCGCTGCAGCACCAGGCGCGGCTGCTGGTGGCAATCCCATCGTTGAAAGTTTCCTCAGCGGCCTCATCAGCGGCCTGGGCCTTGGAGACGGCGAAGACGAAAAGGCCACTGCAGCCAGCAACTAGAGCCAGAATCCCCTTCCCCATTCATACGATCACCAACTGCGACCAACTATTTAAAGCATTTCGCATACAAACTTAGTCTAGAATTATTTATCACGAATCTCCAACTGATCAAAGTATATAAGAAATAAAGTAGCAACAATTTTAAATATAATTAAATATGTGTATTTTGTTTTTTTTTTTCTTATGAATAAGAAATATTTCTATAAACTATTTTAATTAAAATTAATCAAAAAGGCAATTTGAAAAACTAAGAAAAGAAAACCGATTTGAAACTAATGAAATTTTTATAATGAATTTTTGTATATTATAGTTGGGTACATATTATTTATTTATTTTATACTACATTTAATTTGGATATGGGACAATTTTTAAGGAATAAAGGTTTTCTCTTAATAATTTTACTATCGCCATTAACCATTTTCAAATTTTTTTTTATTTATTAATTTGGTTTCGACTTACTTTTCATAATCCTTAATGATATTTTTTCATTGTTTACTCATTGTTAACTTCATTGTATTAATTTTTAGAATACATTAATTTCTTTTCAAATTTATTGAATTTTCTTTTTAAAGTTTCAATGGAAAGAAGGAAGTAAAATCTGTTTATACTTCAAGACAAACTTGTAACTTAGGCGTAATATTTTTAAGGGTAGAAAATATGAAGAAACCAAACTTATATGCGAGTGCTGTTCAAAAAGTTTCGCGAACTATTCACTTATTATATTTATTTATAATTTACATTTTTATATATATTTTTGAAGTAATATCTAGCAGATGCTTGCTCCTCGAAGTAGGCACCTTTGGAGTTCTTAGGGCCTAGCTATATATATCCAGTGCTTACCATTTCCTAGAGCTGCGGGTTAAGAACCCCTTATCATATCAGCAAGGGCTGCCAGTTTGGAGGCTATGTTGCAAATCGGAGTATTCTAAATTGTTATAAAAATAGATATGTCAGATATAATCGCTATAAATCATAGTCAAAAGGGCCCCATATTGTCTAGTTCCGTATTGCTATAATTACACATAAGCTGATAATAGCAATTGTCTGAGAGATTCCTGCCTTCATTTAGATATAAAAACCGCTAGAGTTCAATGTAGTTTAAGCAAAGTTTAAGTAAGCGGCAAGCCATGCAGAGATTAATTTTCATCTTCCTCTCAATACACACACCCACCTGGACGTTGCCATTGGGTCCCCAGGAGGAAAGGTCCTCTGAAGATCCCTGGTCGTTTAGCAAAGACATCATTGACTTGAGCGCCTATGGCAGCGCCTTGCTTGGCAAGCCGGACCAGGAGCTAACGGGAGCTCTGGTAGGCAACTTTAGCGCTGACATTGAAGTAAATCCCGAGGAGCTGGGCAGCTATCTTGAGGGTGATATTCTAGTGCCGCAGCCTGTAGTCACTATGCGAAATGGTATAATTACCCAGACCTCACGCTGGCCCAACGGCGTTGTGCCCTACAAGATCGAAGGCGACTTCGACCACATGGAATTGTTCATCATCCAAGCTGCCATGGTAGAGTACCACAGGCGCACATGCATCCGATTTGTGCCATATAGCGGCGAGAGCGACTTCGTTTCTATTTGGAACGACTTCTCGGGATGCTGGTCTGCTGTGGGCCGCATAGGCGGCGAGCAGAAAATCAATCTGCAGACACCTGGCTGTCTGAGACGGCGCGGCACAGTGATTCACGAGCTGATGCATGCACTTGGATTTCTGCACGAGCAAAGCCGCAAGGAGCGCGACGAGCATGTGGTCATTAAGTACGAGAATATACGCGTTCAAGCGCTGAGAAACTTTAGAAAGGTGGACAGCACCGAGGCTTTTGGAGTGCCCTACGATTTCGATAGCGTTATGCACTACTCAGCCAGAGCCTTCTCAAGGAATGGCGAACCGACTATTGTGCCTAAGGTGAGTTGGCTGTAGATCCCAATAGATAGGGGAAAATATATATAATTGATAATCCCGTCAACTGATTTTTTTCTTAAATTTACAGCAAGCAAAGGACACACTTCGATTGGGCCAACGTCTAAGTTTTTCTAATGGTGATGTAGAGAAAATAAATAGGATGTATGATTGCAGCTCCCGGATCACAGTTCCGCCTACAAAAGAAATTTCACTCGCCACACCCGAGCCAGAAAATTCAAAGGCAACTACGATCGACTCAAGCCTGGATCCCAATAGTTGGTTCAATTTGCTTATCAGCAGCTGGGGTCTAAAAGAAAATGCAGGCTGAGACAGGAATCGGATATTATGATAGAGGTTAAACTAATAATAATACTTTTTATTTTATATCTATTAATGTACTAGACGCTTAAACTTTGCTCAATGAATAAATGTCTGTTGCCATTTCAAAAATTTAATTGGCCACGATATGAGTGGGGTGAACCAGGTATACTGGTTGAAGCCGTGCAATTGATACGTTGCCGGATTTAAACATTGCGCCTGGCAGCCAACATTCGGGAGCGCGGCAAGCGACACTGGCTGATGCTGTGGAGGCGATACTGCATCTCCGGCTGGGTAATCTTCTCGTAGAGTTTCTGTTTGGCCTCCTGGATGGTGTGTATGGCCACACCATCGCCGCCATCGTCCATGTTGAAGGCCTCGCCCTCGGCGCACTCGGGACACTGCTGGGTGAGCACAATGTCATTGAGGTCGGTGGGCACTTCGCAGATCTTTTCGATCTGCTTGACAACATAGTCGACGTTGCCCTCGTCCTGGCGCTCGAACACATAAACACTGGCAACAATGTCCTGCACGCGCGACTCCAGTAGCCGAAGGAAGCGTTCCACATTTACAAGATTCACATGGGTATGATCACCCAGCAGCTCAGCCAAGGGCGACGTATCCACTGAGCACATATCGCAAAGCATCTCAACGCCCTGCAGTAGATTCTCGAGACGCGTATCGTTGTTTTCACGCGTCTTGTTCAGCTCCAAGTTGGCGGCTTGCTTATTGCGCACCTGCTGCTCCAAGGAGTTGATCAAATCGACCTGGCCCTGCAGCGTGGAGGTATTTTCCCGCTTCAGGTCGATGATGTCGTCGAAGAGACGATTCACCGAGTTGTTCAGCAGCGTTATGTGATAGCTCATCTCGTTGGCATAGTTGAAGAAGGAGTAGTATAGACTCTCCTGCTGCTGGAACTTCTCGATCACCTCCTCCACATTGCTGGAGTTGGTGTAGTCGAGTATCTTCTTGAGCACCGAATTATACAGATTGATCTTCTTGTTGTGCTTGCGACGGAACTCGTCACGCCGCTTATACTCCTTGGGTGGCAGATCAGCCAAAATGCGCTCCCTGCCCTTGCACTCCACGAACGCCGAGTTATCCGCATCGGCAGCCACCTTACGCATGATGCTCTGCAGCTCAATGCGTCTCAACTCACGCTCTTTGCTCTCACGCTTGGTAAGCTTATCGATCTTCTCATACACATCAATGCAGCCATCGAAGGTGTTCAGCGCATACTCGATCAGGTCTATCAGATACTTCTTATCGCTGTTCAACTTCTGAACCATCTTAGTATAGGAATCATTGAAGAAAGTGCGATGGTTCAGTATCCGGATGAGCTGCTCTCGCAGCTCGGCATTTGCCGCCGTAAAGCCGCACTCTTGCCGAATGCCGACCTCCAAGGAGTTCTCCAAGATGACCATCTTCTTGCGCACCCTGGCCACATGTGCCTGGTGCTGTTGCTCCGGCACTGTCAGTCGATTGAGATTGTAGATCTGCTTGCTCACACGACTGATTTCGCGTTCCATATTGGTTATGGACGTCTTCAGCTTGGTTATGTCTGCTGCCAGGTTCTCCTGGCACTCCACATGGCAACGTATCTGGGCCAAGTACCGCTTGTCTTTCTTCATGTGCGTAGCGCCAGCGGCCACCCATATCTGAGCGCGCAGATCATTCTTCTCCTCCTCCAGGCGATCGATGGTATTCTCATAGCTGGCATCGATGATTGTCTCGTTACGTGTCTTCAGCTTACTGGAAAGCAATTTCTTGTATTCACGCTGCCGCTTGCCGAGCTCACGGTGCTTCAACAGATAGCCCTCAAGGAAAGCCGTCTTGTTGAACGGCTCGTCCGGCTTGTCCATTTTGTATTTCAGATATAGAAACTTCTTTTAATTTGAAACTTAACCAAAAATCATAAATTATTCACAAGTGACGTCAAGGCTCTATAGAATTTATATATTGTATTTATCAATACTTTTGTAGCTCTGACACTGTTAAGGACACTCGCACGACTGACTTCAAATTCTGAGTCAAAGTTTTATGCCTACATACAAACCAAAAGCTACTAGGTATTGTTAAATCTTAATATTTATTAAGTTATTAAGAAACCATCAAGATGGGAGCTGAAAAATATGAATTATTCTGAACTGAATGCGACGAGTTAAATATATATTGGAGGACTTTAGGAGAATCTATATATCTAATGCTGTATCCATTGCTCTTAAAAGATCTGAGATATAAATCTATTTTAATCGATTTCATGAAGCTGTGATATCGATGACTTAAAGGAGACCAGACAGAAAACTTTATTTAATCATCAGTTGATTAAGATCAAGAGTATAAAGAATGTTTTGGTAAAAGGCTCACAGCTCTCAGTTGGAAAAACTTTTGTATTTCTAAATTTATTTAAAAATTTATTTTTGCCTTTTATTGGGTTTGACTTGACATCTTATCAGAGGTAGATTGACATCAGAGCAATACTTACAAATTGTTGAAATTTTGTTGTGCTTGGCTGACGGAGTGATTGGTCAATATCTCATCAAAATGCTTCAGATTGGAGTCTTATATGCGCTTGCCATAACAACCTACAGCAATATAATTATACTTTAGTGACATACACTCAAAAAAAAACAAAAAGGACGATAAAATAAGCGACATTAGAACACAAACGAAGCCTACACAACTCGCATCAACTCTACGAAATAAATAAATAATTCTTAAAGGGCATTAAATATAGGTACAAGTATATATTACACATACACATTAATATATTAACTACTTTACATTTTTTTTTTATTTTTTACTGTTTTTATATTTATTTTAGAACATTTTTCTATTTTTAAAGAGAGAAAATTGTCGTTAATATTAATTTTTGTATTACATAAATTGATAATTTTGCAAACATTTGTTAATATTCATGTTATTGTTATTAAATATATTAAAAATATTTATAAGTATAATAGTTTTATATATATAACACATTTAAATATATAATAAATATATATCTTCTGGTTTTTAAATATATTTTAAATATAAGTATGTATGTCTTTTTGTAACTATTTAACAAATAAATAATATAATAATATAATATAATAAATATAAGGTTACAAAAATAAAAATTAAGAGAAGAGATTCTCTGCCTATGACAAACACTGAGCACATTTTGTAAATAACTTAACTACATCACAAGGAGCTACTAAGTATTATTTATGTTATAAAATATATAATAATAAGTTGAGTAATTCACAATTTTAAAGAGAACAATATAATAATAAGTTGAGTAATTCACAATTTTAAAGAGAACAAGGCAGCAAGAGTAAATACTCGCGACTTAATTAGCATTACGAAAATGATCATGGCAAAATCATACTGCTAATGATCATTATCGTTAATGAACTTTACAACTTCATTATTATAATAACAATTAGTGTTTATTAATAATAATTAAAAATTACTAAATTATATAAAAATTATACATTTTTAACATTTAAACAATTAAAACTTAAATATTTCCTTATTTATTTATTTAAACAATTACAATATCTATTAAATAATTACAAATTATTTAAACAAAACATTTAACAAAATACTTAATTTTATTCACCACTTGCACTGAACCGCACGACTGACGTAGTCCACGTCATGAACTTGACTGATCGGCCACAGCCGCTGCTGCGCCTTTTATACCCAAAAGTCACTCAAAAGACAGCTGCAGCAGAGATGCTGAGCACCTTTTGAGTGGAAATTTACACTCATGTTGAACTAAGTTAGACGCAGTAGGAAAGGCGCACAGACAGAGCTAGTTATATACACACAACGTGTCATTCTGATCGGGAATATATATGCTATACATATATACTTCATATATATGTGAATCAAACGTGTTTTTCTTTCTGCATATTTATTACTTTCTTACTCAATTTATATGAGAAGACAAATATATGCAAATATATAAACAGCCACTGATCATGCTGTTCATATATATATATAAATATATACAAATATATATATAAATATTTACATATAAGCACAATATATGATTGATTGCTAGTATAATAGTTATCTACAGAGATGAAATACTTCAAGCTCACTTTGTGGTAATTTTTCATACAAATAATTTGTTAACTTTGATTAATTTAAAAAGAACATCATTAAAGTAAGAATAATATGTCTTAATTTTGTATGTCTAGCATGCTTCTATAATAATTTCTTAAAGTTCTTCCATTACGTTAAATTGTGCCGGTATTTGATAGCGTCAAACATTCGTAGCTTTCGAGCTCCATATCCATATATATTGTACATATACTAATATCCAGAGTTGAACCTTTTACTGCTGTGATATGCCGGAGCTTTCCAATGCTCGGAAAATTTTAAATACAGAATAAATATAGGCAGCAGTACGTATATCATTGGTAAGCTTAAACTTTTCTGCTGTTTCCTTAATGCCAGCACCCGATGACTCCATAACAGTTTGTAGGGCAGAATCCACAATGTCTGCTTCCCTGGCGCAGTCGCGCAGCCTTTGAAGGCTTTCAGTTGGCTCGACTTTAGGCTGTGGATTAAATCGGTAAGTTTGTTAGTAAATTCTCCTTATATGAGCAATGTTTAGACGACTTACGATATTATCGCAGTCACGAAACGACTGGTTAATCGAATTCACAACTTCGTGAATGAGTTGCGAGGTTATCCTTGAGTTCATTTTGCCGTACGATACGTGATTTATATTCTTCAGGTACTCAAAATAGGATACCGTGACACCGCCAGCATTACAATAGAAATCTGGGATGATCAAGACTTTTTTGTCCAGAAGAATCTTCTCTCCAGCTGGTGTAGTTGGTCCGTTGGCGCCTTCCAAAATCAATTTAGCTTTGATGTCGTTTGCGTTCTCGCTAGTGATGACCTTTTGTGTAGCACACGGGATCAATATATCGCATTCCGCAGTTAGGATATCCTCCTTGGTTTCAGTGGCTTTCGGATAGCCCTTAATGGTTTTCTTTTCCGCCTTATATTCCATGAGATCCTAAAGGGGTCGACAATAGCTAAAGACGGTCAGCAGGCGATCAAAACGAAATACTCACATTGATATCAATACCATCATTGTTAGTTAATGAAAAAGTATGTTCCTGAATACCAATTACTTTGGCGCCTGCTTCGTGGACAAACTTGGCTGCAAATGAGCCAACATTACCGAAGCCTTGAACAATGACCTTCTTGTCTTTCCAGCCAGTCGTAAGACCGATTAAGTCCATCCACTCCTTATCCTGCAAGAACAGATCGCCCGCCTTCCATACCCCTCGCCCAGTTGCCTCAAATCTGCCATTGATGCCGCCAATGTGGACGGGCTTTCCCGTTACAATTGCGGCCGCATTCATGTCCTTATAGCCAAAGGTCTTGGTATACTGATCCACGATCCAACTCATCTCGCGCGGACTTGTATTCACATCTGGCGCAGGTACATCAATGCCAGGGCCAATCATATTACGCTTCAACAGCTCCATGGTGTAGCGGCGCGTAATTGTTTGCAATTCCTTGACCGTGTATTTCTTCGGATCGATTCGAATGCCACCTTTGGAGCCGCCGAAAGGTAGATTGACACAGGCGCACTTGAATGTCATAATAGCTGCCAATGCCTTCACCTCATGGTCACTCACATCCATGGCGAACCGAATTCCTGATTGAGGAGCAGGTAAGTAGAGCTGCTAAATTAATTACGCACGATACATACCACCCTTTAGGGGCAGACGATGGCGCACGTGGTGTGCTCGGTACCCAGTTATAATCTCGTAGCTGCCATTGTTCTTAATGATGGGAAAGCTCACCTCGAGCGAGCTGGTTACGTTGCCTATCAGATTCAAAATGGCAGTTACTCGCGCCTGCTTTTCAGCTGGCTTAAAATGGGCATATTGATCCATCTCTTTGACTAAATCCTTCTCCATAATTTGGGCAGCTTTGTGGTAGTTGTACATGACTATATCCGATAAACGAGGATTCTTTGCCGTTTCCACTTTCTTTAGATGCTCGGGCATCTCATGTTTCTGCCGTACAGCACGCTGCGCCGGCGTAATGGAACGGATGCTAACAAATATATTACTAATACCCTGAAGCATTTTGAAAAAGAAAATAGGAAAAAAGAATGAAAAAAAAAATACTTTTGTTTTCAACGTTATACAATATTTATGGTTATACAATCTGTTTGTGAAATATACATGTAATAGGTGACTACGTTTTATAAATTGTCGAAAATAATATCGAAGTGGTCATGAAAGCAAAACGGATAAAATTATTTAATCTGAAACTAATCTAATCTAATCTAATGTCATGCGCAGAAAAATCTGTTGCTTTGTTGCTTTCAATAATATTCAAGTTGCTTTTATAGTAATATCATTTATTAAAATTTGAAAGTTATTAAAATTATCCAAACAATTTTGAGAAATTTATAACCAGCGTACAAAATATGACAAAATTGTTGAGCTACTGCTGTGATATGCCGGAGCTCTCCAAAGCCCGAAATATTTTATATATAGACCAGATATAGGCAGCTGTGCGTAGATCATTACACAACTCAAACCTATTGGCAGTGGCCTTGACCCCAGTTCCTGACGCTTCCATAACTGTTTGTAGGGCTGCATCGACTATGTTCGCTTCTGTGGTGCAATCACGTATCGCTCGCAGTGATTTGTTTGGGTTGACCAGGGGCTGTGAGAGGAGCTCTTGAATCGACTGTCCTGTTTTAGTCGTTGGGTGGATGAACTACTTACAATATCACAATTTTGCTCGTGAAGAGACTCATTGATCGAGTTAATGACCTCATGAATGAGCGTTGATGACCTCTTTGACGTCATCTTGCCGTACGTCACGTGATTAATATTTTTCAAATATTCAAAGTAGGATACCGTGACACCGCCAGCATTACAATACAAATCCGGAACGATCAAGACTTTTTTGTCCAGAAGAATCTTCTCGCCAGCTGGAGTAGTTGGTCCATTGGCGCCTTCCAGAATCAATTTAGCTTTGATGTCGTTCGCGTTCTCGCTGGTGATCACCTTTTGCGTGGCACACGGCATCAATATGTCGCATTCCGCAGTTAGCAGATTCTCCTTTGTTTCCTTGGCTTTCGGATAGCCCTTGATTGTCTTCTTGTCCGACATATATTTCATGAGATCCTAAAAAGAGCAGGCACTAGTAAAGGTTTGTATCTCGATGATTAACTCTTTCGACTCACATTGATGTCAATACCATCATTGTTTGTTAGCGAAAAGTCAAACTCCTGAATGCCAATTACTTTGGCGCCTGCTTCGTGGACAAACTTGGCTGCAAATGAGCCAACATTGCCGAAGCCCTGGACAATGACCGTCTTGTCTTCCCAGCCGGTCTTAAGACCAATCAAATCCATCCATTTCTTATCCTGCAGAAAGACGTCGCCAGTTTTCCATACCCCCCGACCAGTTGCCGCAAATCTGCCATTGATGCCGCCAATGTGGACGGGTTTTCCAGTGACAATCGCCGTTGCATTGATGTCCTTATGACCAAAGGTCTTGATATACTGATCCACGATCCAGCTCATCTCGCGCGGACTTGTATTCACATCGGGCGCAGGTACATCAATGCCAGGGCCAATCATATTACGCTTCAACAGCTCCATGGTGTAGCGCCGCGTAATTGTCTGCAATTCCCTTGCTGTGTACTTCTTGGGATCGATTCGAATGCCACCTTTGGAGCCGCCGAAGGGTAGATTGACGCAGGCGCACTTGAATGTCATAATAGCCGCTAATGCCTTCACCTCATGCTCGTCCACATCCATGGCGAACCGAATTCCTGAACGAAGTGGAACTCAACGATCGAACGCAAGCTGATGGAACTCGGTACTTACCACCCTTTAAAGGCAGACGGTTGCGTACGTGATGAGCACGATAGCCCGTGATTATTTCATAGGTGCCATCCTTGCGTATAATGGGAAAGCTCACCTCCAGCGAGGTGCAGACACTGCCTATCAAGTTTAAAATGGCGGATACTCGAGCCTGCTTCTCCTCGGGCTTGAAGTCCAGATACTTGTCCATCTCTTCGACCAAACTCTTCTCCATGATCTGAGCGGACTTGTGATAATAGTACGAGACCATGTTTGAGAACTCGGGGTCCTTGTCCGTTATAATCGACTTCAGTCTGTCGGGCATCTTGTGCTCGTACCGCTGTGGCAACCTGAGCAGCACGCGGTAAACCTTCTTTCGGTACGATTTTAATAGCGGACAAAACATTTTATAGGTCTTGATAGGAAATAATAAAATTTGTCAATAGTCGGATGCCTATTGTTTGTATTTGATAATGTTACTTGATATTATATTATTTTTGGATTTCATTTTTATTGTATAAATTGCTCTACATAATACGTGGCTACAGGCTACGAGCTAGGCTTAAATATTTTATAGCTATACACAAAAGTAAACATATCTTGAATGGTCAATTCTTAACGATGGAAAACTCTAAGCAGCCAGTTATTAAGCAAGAGTAACTAAGAGTATGCTATGTAGAGTTGCATTATGCTTAAACAGAGTTTATTGGACATGCGAACAAATATATATATATCTATATATATATGTATATATATACACGTAAGGGTCGCATGTGGGTATTTTTGCCGTTTAACGTTTTTGGGTTCGCCCGGAAGCGCATAAGTTGAATGTTTATATAAGATAGGGGGATAAGTTTAGCTTTATATATCTATAATATATATATATATATATATATTTGTATATATATTTATATAACTTAGTTGTACCAGTAGCACAGGTTACACATAAATATGATAGATCTATTCATAGGCATTAATATTATTAATAATTACATAATTATAGCTCTTTAATTATTATCTATTTACACGCAGACAAAACACAATGTTTGCGACATGGTTTAGAACTAGAAAAAAGCGACCCCGTTTGCAAAATGAAAAGTAAAAATTGAACAAAAATGTAGCTTTTAATATCACTTTGGGGACATGCACTCGTTCTCTTATGGCCTCATTTACGATGGTTGCAATTGGTAGCATATAGAACTTGAATTCGTCAACAATCGCATTGCACACAAAACAAAAGAAATTCAATGAAATATTTTCAAAAGTTCAATCCGGATGTTAGCTTCATTCAAATCGCGTTGTATTAATGAATAGATATATTGAAACTGGTTTTCTTGATTCATTGATTGGTTCATTCAATGCTAGAGACTAAGCTACATCTACTTAATGGCTAGGCTTAATGTTAAAGTATTTTCAATTAATTTCAAATTAATTCAAAAGTCTAAATTTTTACATAATAATTACAAAGTGATTACGACGCTCTACACACTCGCACTCGCACTCGCACTCGCACACACACACACAGACACAAACACAAACACACGCACACATTAATCTCGTAGCAAGATCGCAGGTAATGCTGCTGCTTAAAAGTTAACATCACGCTTGGAAACAATAATTCCCAACAGCATCTTTTCCCGTTGAGTACTATAATTTGTGGCCTTTCAATCGCACTGCAGATCATATCCTTGGCTCAGCTATCCACTGAGCATTTCAAGCAGCTTCCGTGCTGCTTGACTGCTAGTCCACATCCTTTTTCTCAATCTTTAAATCGAACTTGGCAACTAGCTCCTCGGGCGTGTGTCTGTAGATGGATAAAAGCAATAGTGGTCGTTAGCAACCATTTGCGTGGACAAACATCTCCATTGATTACTTACCCAACTAGATTTTGAAGATCGCAGACGAAGCGGTAGACATAGCGTTTGCCCGCCGTCTTGTGTATGATGTTCTTGTCGTAGTAGTAGCGCAGACCGCGGCTCAGTTTCTCGTAGTTCATCTTGGGCTTGTTCTTGCGTATGCCCCAGCGACGCGCCACCTATCGGACGGTAGACGTAATAAACATGTGAATTAGCAAAGATTTCGGATAGCACACAATTTCTTTGGCACTTACCTCATCGGGATCGGTCAGCTTGAACTCCCAGCCATCGCCTGTCCACGAGATAAAACTCTGGCATGTTTTGTCGAGCAGCAGCTCCAGCAGAAACTGCCACAGCTGAATGGGTCCGGAGCCCGTAAAACAGGGCACTCCGCCCTGCGTTGTATAGCCGCCCAGCAGCGTCTTGTCCAGACCCAATGTGGTCATATATGCCGCCGGATGTTGATGGGCATGTGCGCCCCATTGGTCCAGGTTCGGCTGGGTGCCCATCGCTGGGAATTGTGCATCGTACGGCGTAAACTCTGACTGGAAGGCCTCATGGAAACGTGCCCGACCATACGTATTATAGAAATCGGGACTGCTGTCCATGTAGCCGCTGCTGTTGGTGCTGCCGCTACCGTTGCCAGCGCTGGAGGCTTGGCTCTGATGCTCCTGCGCCGAAAGCGTACTGTGATAGTCGCTATCATCGCCGCCAGCAGCAGAGGCGACTCCGCCGCCACCGCCCGGTGTGCCGCCGCCACCACCGCCGCCGCCGCTATAGTGGCCAGCGGCCGCAGCTGCAGCCAAATGTGCGGGCAGACCATAGCTGCTGAGATCTGTTGGATCGTTCTGGGCATTTGATGCGTAGGCGGCGTTGCTGCCATTGCCAGACTGAGTGCCCGGCTCCTCTTTCAGCTGATGTTGGTAGATAGCCGCTGCCATAGCTGTCATGTAGTTAATGTTGTTGTTGTTGTTGTTATTATTATTGTTGTTATTGTTGTTGTTGTTGTTGCTGTTGCTGCCCGCATTGGCATTGTTGTTGCCACTGTTGTTGCTGCCGTTGCTGTTGTTGTTATCGTTCGCATTTTGCTGCTGTTGCACACCAGGCGGCATCATGCTGTTGTTGTTGTTGTTGCTGCTGCTGCCTGTATTGTTGCTGTTGCCATTGAGATGCTGTTGCGATTGCTGCGGTGGCGGGCTGTTGTTGCTGCGTTCATGTGCATTGCTATTGTTATTGTTGTAGCCTGCAAGATAAAACAAAAATATGCCAATTTTATTTAACTGATTAGCCAATGGAAGCGACATAAGAAGAATATGTTATATGAGATATATAGCATATATGTATAAATATATATATGTATATAGATTAAACACAGAAATCATATTTTTGATTGCTCAAATCGAGGCTGTAAGTCTGGAGTCGCAGTTTAGTTTTCATTGGCCTTGAAGCCAATCAGTTGCTCAAGAAACAACTGAAGCGAGCTTCATTCAGCATCAAAATCATTTCTCACTCAAAGTATGAATATCTTTAGCTACTCTGCCCTCTGCAAGTATCTAATAATATTGTATAGATATTTATTTAAGCTCTTTTATATTAAATCTTAAAAATTTTTATATAAAAGTTCTGTTCAGAAAGTTTTTTGTTATACTGAAGAAGTGCATTCATAGGCTATTTCGTGATGTGTATCTGACAGATGTATCTACCATTGCTGATATACATTTTGGAATGCATCGAGTTGTGTAGTTTTTCGATTTGCTCTGAGGATATTTGAGCATCAAATGGGGCGTCTCTGGCACGAACTGAATGCGAGCGCAATCGCTTCGGAGGCCAATCAAAATTCGAAGCGCACACCAATACAAATGCCCCTCGGCCCAATAGATACAAAACACAGATACGAACGCATACACTCGCATCACACACACACACACTCAGAGGCAAGCGAGTGAGCGAGCTGCGCTACCCTCTCTCAATCTAATGTGGCTTGCGAGCGCACGCTACATTAATTGCAAATACGTCGAAATTTAACACGTTTCGACGAATGCGTATGTGTGCTATAGATGTATCTGTGGAATACGAAAACCTGTTGCACACACACACAGGCACACAGGCAGACACACACACACATGCGCGCTAGCTGCTAGCTCGCTCGCTCGCTCTAAGCAGTCGCACAGCTCTTGCATTCGTGCTCGCTCACTCGCTGGCCAGAGCTTTGCGCGCTTTCCCATTCGCTCGGCGACGTGGTAATGCGCAGATACAAAGATACAAAACGCTGCCCGTTGGCTGAGGCAACGGGCGGCACTACAACAAAGAGTTAGGTGCCTCCCACGTCTATCCACACGGAGGCGCAGCATCTGCAGCCAGTACAAAATGTATCTACAGCTATGTACGCCTGTCTATCTAACTATCCATCCGTCCATCTGTCTATCTATCTATCTAATAGTTAGTCAAGCAGACGCTTTTGTTGCTGGTCGCGTTGAGGGCATTTATCGCCAGCTCAATCTCCGCCCCCCTTGGGTCAACTTGTTGCGTGTTTGTTGCTGCGGTTGCTTGCGGGCGTCGCACAAGCAAACACTCACAAACGAATTACAATTTAATTATGCGTTGAGGGTTGTGCGCACATCTTTGAGCCAGCGCCACTTTTCACACTCCGACACCTCAATTGTAATTAAAATTGTGCGCCATTTGATGTCCGCAAATATTTGACAAGTCCCATTCCTTTTACCTGAGCTAAAGAAGTTCACATCCGAGTCCGTGTAGTAGGCATTGCCAGTCGTATGATGCGATGTCGGCGCATAGTCGCCCACAAAGGGCGTCATATCGTTGAAATAACCCAGACCCAATGAGGCCGCCGTGGAGCTGCTCAAGGCGCCCGCCAGGCTGCCAATGCCAATGTTGGCGCTGCTGCTGCCGCTGCCAGAGCTGGCAAAGCTATGCGTGGAGGCATTCGAGGATGCGCTGGAGCTGGAGCCGGATGACGAGGAGGCCGTATTGCTGCCCGTGCTGCCGCCGGACAAGCGATGTTGCTGCTGCTGCTGTTGCGCGGGTGAAACATAATGCGTGTGTTGCTGCTGTTGCTGATGTGGCTGCGAGTGTTGCTGCTGGTGCTGCTGATGATGCTGTTGCTGCTGTGCCTGATGCAGATGCTGTTGCTGTTGCTGCTGCTGGTGCTGCTGCTGGTGTTGCTGCTGCTGCTGCGCTGGCAAGAGATGTTGCTGATGTTGCTGCAAGTGCACCGTTTGCTGTGGCAAATGATAGCTCGAATAGTTGTCATAGCTTTGTAGCACCATATTTTTCGATGTTGCTGACGTTGTTGAATAGTTGTAGTTGGTTGCCGTTAGGCAATTGTTGTTGTTGCTGCTGTTGCTGCTTGTTGTGTAGTGCTGCAAGTTTCTGAAATGCTGCTGCTCTGCTGCTGCTGCTCCTAGTGCTCCTGCTGCTGCTGTTGCTTTGTCGTTATCCGACGCGTTTGCTGCACTGATTATGGTGGCATTAACTAGGAACGCAGAGGGCGGCATTTCTTCGCGTTTTCCAATTGATCAATTGTCAAAAAGTGAATGTGAAAAATGCACGTCATTGACTTTTTGAATGGTCCGCAGAGAGATGCTGTTGGCTATATATATATATATATATCTGTATATATGAAATGTGTTCTACACGAAATCAAATCTGCGGGATGCACAAACTGTCAACTCAATTGGAATGGCACCACAAAGACACAAAGGCGCACGCACGCACATGAATTGTAAGTGGATTGGATTGTGGTGCAGCGGCTATATGCTGGTGGTTCTTGCAGTTGTATTAAAATTGATTTCACTTTTGGTTAATATGTGAGTATTTTAATTTTTGCACTGCTCTGGCCGCTGCTGCTGCTGCTGCTGCTGCTGCTGCTGCTGGATGCGGGCTCTAATCAATTGAGTGGCTTCCAGAATTGGTTCTCATCAAAAGCGTATATCATGCGCTTAAGTATGCAGATTGATTCTATAGCATGTGGGCGTTAGCACTTGAGGTCTCTTTAGGTTTAGTTTTGATTGTGGTTGCTTGGGCAGCGGCTTTTGTTTAGCTTAGTTTTAGTTTTGGTACGAGTCGCGCTCGCACTTATCGCACTCTTGAAATTCCTTTTCATTTGCACAGTTGTTCAAGATTTCTGAAATATCTTTGCTTGATTGTTGTTGTTTATCTTGGTTCTTTTTGTTACGAATTCCGTCGCATTTTTAATTCCGATTAAAATTTAACACTTGCTGGCAATTCGCGCATTTAATGGCAAATAATTGAAGGCAATTCATGAAAAAAATCTCACTCGCCGCTGCTCGGATGCTTTACACTGTGTGCACACACACACATGAACACACGGACACACACACACGCACACTTAAGCAGAAAAGTAAGTTGATAAATTAATGCGCATTTCGTACATATTTTATATCGCATTTAGTTGTAAATACATTTCTTGCTTGACTTTATATTGATTATTCGAATTATAATTCGGTTGAGTTTTATTTGTTGTTTTTGCTGTTGTACAATGGCGCGTATGCGCGATTTCTGTTAGCACACACTGATCACTGATCACTGATCAAATATACGAGCGAACGTTCGGTCGAGCGACGGCAGCTCTTCTACCTTCGACATCCGTTTAAGAACTGAAGTTGCGTTGAAGTTGTGCGTCGTGTTGTTGCCTGTGTCGGCACCGTCGTATCTGCGAGCGACTCGCTCTGTGCGTGTGTGTGTGTGTGTCTGTAGCGCGCTCTCGTATCTCGTCTATCTGTATGTGTGTGTGTGCGCATTCGTGTGTGTCTGCGTCTCTGTGTGGGAGCAACTGGCATCGCCTTCGTGCGCTCGGCGACAGCCACACGAGCCACACTCGCACTCACACACACTCACACACTCGCACACTTGCACTTGGCAATAATAATAATCAAGAGGAAGGCATACTTGCACAGCGCTTACTCACAGATACTCTCTGGCTCTGGGTTAAGCAAGAGCAAAAAACTAAAAACAAAAACTTTTATAGATACGCGCGTTTGCCTCTGTAGCTCGAATTTGATAGAAATTCATATCAATTTCTAAATGCGATTGCTCTCCACTTGTTGCTGCTGCAGCAGTCACATTTCGTAGTTCGACAGTCGCTAATTGATTTCAACAGTACAGTTGCCATCAACCTAGCCAGCAGAGATCATTAACAAAGCAACGCCAACACACGAGAGCATCAAAATGAACATTTTGTGGACCACCAAAATGGCCAGCAGCAGCAGCAGCCCACAGCCCATAGCCCACTGGTCAGCAGCATTTGAGTGAGTGTGTGAGCGTGTGTGTGTGGGCAGTAGCTCATCAGCGCCAACATTTTTCACTGATGGACCACAAAAAAAAAAAAAAAAAAAAATCTCATAGATACGCACACACACACGCTCGCACATAATTAGACAAAGTTGGGATTGGCCATCACTGCCTTCTGCATGAGATCATAGTCCAGCCGCCCAGCCAGCCAACCAACCAACCGACCGATCGGCCCGCAACCCAGCTGCGCTGAAAAGCTGCTGTCGAGTCTTCAACAATACCAAATTAGTTGCCGTCTTTATGATTATTATTTTTCATATTTATTTCTCTTGTTTCTTTTTTTTTGTGCTCAAAAACGAAGGCGTACGTGTTTTTGTTGCTGGCATAATTTGTTGAAATAGGGGAAAAAAAGCAAATCTTTAACATATTTTTTTGTGTTGCATAATTTGCCATACGAAAAACCAAAAAATAAAAAAAAATAACACTAAAAATGGTGGCTTATGGAACGTGTTGTAGCGCAATTTGTGGCAACAGCCAATGACAAAATGAAGCGCGCTTTACGTGTAATGCGAAAAGACACGTTCAAAAAAATCTTAAAAATAAAATAAATAAATCAAAAATAGCTAATCGCAAAATTTAAAATTATATATACATATATATATATACATATTTATATATATTTTTTTAATAAAGTTTTCATTTCTGTCAGCCATTATAAATACGTTTTGGCGCTGCATCTTATCGCGTTGTATCAGTTATCAGTTATTGATTTTAGTTGACTAATAAATGTGACATGACATAAAAAATGAAGCATAAAAAAAAACGCAGAAAAAAAAATTGCAATGGCCTCAAAGCTGTAAAGCTCAAGTAGTTCCAGGAAAAGTTGTTGCAAGTACGTTCAATTTTTACCTTGTGCGTTAAAATACGACAACAAGAGCTGATAAAGCATAAAGCTTGCTTCCCAAAATGAAT